CGTCTTCATAATGTGGCGAAGATTCAGAAGAGCCACAGTCACCTATCTTCCAAGGAATACGATGCAGAGAGAGAGGGCAATGTCGCTATAGTGTTTTTAGAGGTGGTTATCAGATTGTCATGTAAATGATGCCAGTGTATCTACAACGCAACACTTTGTTACAGGTTAGATCATGGGGGACATATGATGTCACCCACACATCAGGTTCCAAGCAGGTCATGTCTGAGGGGTTTATTGCAGTTCAGTCTAGACAGAGGATGCTGCTTAATCCTTGGATTCTCTGCTATATACAACTGGAGGATGTCGAGGCATTGTGATGAATTATGAGGACCTTTGAGAGCTGCTGCATTGTACTTCAGACAATGAGGATATTCTGGAAGGAACCACATCTTCTGCATTCTACAGCAAAGAAGTGTCAGTTAAAACTACACAGACAGGATGACTTTGTGAACCCTGTACAATGGAACACTGCCATTAGGTTATATTTCACTCTAAACGTTTTGATGCTGCTGAGGCCGTCATCTCTATATAATTCCGACTGCAAGTACAGCTTAACCGTTTTGACCTTTTCACATTTCCTGTGTTTAATATGGATATAAACTGATGGAAATTTCCACAACATCCAAAACCCCCTCATTCAATTGTAGCAAAATTTCATGCTAGTTTGGAAAGAATAGCTATTGTTCAGACAGAGTTAGAACATTGTGTGGTGTTAAGGATGGCAAGTCTCTGTACCTTAATTCTTCTTGTTGCAGCTAAAATGATATTCACTCACACAGCTAATGATGAAAGGTGACTTAGTAAACTTTGCTGTAACTGGAATTCTTGATAAAGTGGCAAAAAATTGCATACCTCTGATATCGTGATGTCTCAGTATTTACGCTGTAAATAAAGTACAACAGTGTATAGCCCCGCATTACATTTCTATTACCTATTGTGTGTTTTTACGTTGATTTTAGGAGGGGTATGTTGTTTTTACATCGATTTTTTTGAGACATTTTGATGTCTCAAAACTTTGCTTGGTCAGGGTTTACCGTGGTTATGCGTACCTCTGATTATTTGATAAACCAGCACATTCCCGGTCCCACAGGTACCAGTTAAAAAAGTTTGCTGTATATATTTTAAAATGTGGTAGTGCATTTACAATGAAATGTCACTTATGCAACCTCTGTGCATAGAAAAGGTTTTCTTTTTCCTTGCCTTTTCCTTACTCTAGGATTAGTCCCAAGTCCGCACTGGGGTAGAGGGAACCAGCCCTGTTGTGGAGTCTGTTAGCCTTGGAGTTTCGGGTGGACACTCTGCAGACATTTGCGGCTTGAAGGCCCAGACATGCTGAGATGCAGCTTCATCCCCCTAATTTTGAGATTGCAGATGGAGGCTGAGGGTTTGTGCACCTCTGAGTCTCTCGAGAGAAGACTTCTGGGAGCCTATCCTCCATTGGCTGCTTGCCTTCTGACATCACCCTGTCTCCTCATGAGGAAAGGGCACCAGGAGTTGAAGTCAAGGTCCCTTGTCCCTTTGTCAACCTGTCATTGGTGCTGAGCATCAAGTAGCAGTATTATCAAAGTCTTATACTTATGCCCTTTTATGCTACCAGTATCCCAGTTTATATTCAGTTAACTAAAGTTCCCCAAAGTAACTGCAGTCAGTTCTGCTGTAACATGTGTTCCATAAATGCAAATTGGCTGTAACGCGATTGATGAACAGGGGAATGCTATTTCTAAAACACAAACTTGTGTTGGTTTTAACGCGATTCCATCGGTGTGCGGAGGAGTACCTGTCAACATCACATGATCATTTCACGGGCTTTGTCGTGAATACGTACAATGTTAGTGCTGAAAGAGTCTCTGCACTGCCATCACATGATCATTTCACGGGCTTTGTCATGAAGTACTTTCTGTGAGAGGTACAGTACAACCTCCTTCCCCCATCAAGTCATCATGACTTTTTTTCAAGGTACAGTGTTAAATTTACTTTTATTTCATTATTAGATGTGAATTAAATGTTTATTCAAATTGTGCTATCCTTTGTGCTAGGCTTTTGTGATTTTTAAGCAATTTTGAGTGACTTTTTTTTTGGTGGTCTGCCCCTAGCCCCACTTTATCCAGAGGCCCTGTTATTTCTATCGCACGATTTTCTATAATGCAATGTTGAACAGGAACACAACTATCACGTTATTGCAGAACCAACTGTACTCTGTAATTTCTGCACTATTGTGTGCTTTCCTCAAAAAATTGTTCATCTATATCCTGTTTGCTTGGTGTAATCTATAGGCAACCAACTAGTGATGTAATTGCATAGTTTTTGTTTCTTAGCTTGTGTATTCTTTCCATCACCCTCTGGGATGCCCTCCTTCTGCAGCATTGCAGTAATGTCTCTAACCAATACCATCACTTCTTCTCCCTTCCTATCTTTCCAAACACCTTTTATTCATGAATATTTAAAATCAAATTTTGCCCTTCTTTGAGCCAGGTCTCTCTCGTAGCCACAACATCATGTTTCTACATAGTGAAATGGACATTGTTGAATTCTAACTCCAAAATAATTTTTGTTTGGTAAAGATTTGAGTGGCACCAATGCAATGTCTCACCCATAGAGTGTCAGGAAAATTTCGAACAGAGAGAGAAACGTAATAGAAAGAGACAATGACGGGTCTATCTTTCCTCGCCTCCAACCTCAGCAGAAAGTCGTCTTTCAGAGTTTTTGTGTTTTGGCCTTCCAGGAACAATTTAAATAAAGGGGTTAAAGACTGATTGCAATACTAGTCTGTGTGAGTTAGAGGCCTGGCATTCTAATGTGTGGACTAGGTGTTCTGTGATAGTCACAGCTTTGAGAATTACGATTTAACACCTCTGCAATGGAACCTCAAGCTGCCCTGCCTATGCCATCATTCCTGGTTAGTTTCCAATTGTAATTGCTCAACCATTGAGAACTAACCTTTCATATGCCTTGGTATTAAACCATGGATTTCCCTCCATAAACCATTCCACCTGTTCACCCTGCCTCCTTTAAGATGTTCTTTAAATCTTGTCTCTTTGGTCAAGCTTTTGATCTGCCCTGCTAACTGGTTCTGTGGTTTTATGAAAGTTTTTAGCTTCTTAAAAATATTTCATTCACCACATTGCTGGCAAGGTCAAATTTTGTTGCCCAAACCTAGTTGGTCTTAAGAAACACCTTGAAATGCTGTAGTCCAAGTGATGTACACACCCATAGTGTTGTTGGGTAGGGACTTCCACATTTTTGATCAAATATTGGTGATGAAATGGCAATGTACCTCTAAGTCAAATGGTGAGTGATTTGGAGGAGAACTTGCAGTGGGATTCCCATATGTTGCACGGCTTAGTCCTTTCAGGCCATGAAGTGTGTTTGACGGTAGCCATGATGTGCTGGTGATGAAGGCAGTGTGTAGTTTACAATAACTTTGTAAATTGCTATTACATATTTTACCCGAGTACCTCAATTTTCAGGACGAAATGATTGGCCTCTGACAAACACAAGCCAGTTTCTTTTGTGCTCAGTATGACTGCGGCCAGTAAAGAATTTCCCCTGATTTTCCATTGACTTCAATTCCACTGCAGTAAAATCCATTTTCTAGATTCCTGTGTGGTGTAATATCTTACACTGGTGGAGACAATAAAACAGTCACAGGATGTTCCACCACTAGCTCTATTGGATTCTGCCAAGTAATAAGAATAGGTCACAAAAAACAGCTTCAGAGTAATTGAGTCATGAAAACCCCAGGAATCTTTTGGTAGCTCTCTGCAGTTGGAGCTCTGTAAAAGTCCCAGCTTTAGGTTTCAGGGGAGTTAGTAACATAGTGATAATGTCATTAGCTAGTAATCCAAAACTCCAATAATTAGGGGTTATGGATTCAACTCCCACTATTGGCAGATGGTGAAATTTGAATTTGGTGAAAATCTGGAATAAGAAAAATTAGACAATGGCAACCACTGTTATTTAAAAAAAATGGTTCACTAAATGTCCTTTCAGGAAGGAAATCTGCCATCCTTACCTGGTCTGGCCTAAATGTGACTCCAGATCGATAACAATGTGGTTGACTCATAACTGTTCTCTGGGCAATAAATACTGGCCCAGCAGCACCCACATCCTGTTAATGAACTTGTTTTAAAAAGTTTTTAGAAAGCTGTTGGGTGGCTTTATGCTGCTGAGACGGTCAAGACTCGAATCCCAGAAACTGTTTGGTGAAGCTGAGAGTTAACGCGAGTAATGATATTGAATCATCAAGGGATGGCTGAGACAGCTGTCACTGTCATTGAGGCAGTCCACATTGGAGCAGCTTTTAGGGTCATTTTGAGGCTACATTTTTGAATATTTGATATCCCACATAAAGAAGTTAATAGTTTTAATCAGATTTGATGGTCCTGAAAATCTGTGGGATCAGTCTTGACTGTTTCTGCCATCTGATGTGCTCTGTGGTGTGTTCTACCTACCACAATTTATTTGTTACCCCATGTTCATCTCATGTTAATTCTGGATGTTTATAAATTGTGTGCATGGTAGTTTGATAAAAATGAAAACACTGTGTTGTGAAGTTTATTTTGTTCAAAAACTGTGGAATCTTGTGGCTTAATTTTCACAATAGTTACCTGGATTTTCTCATTCTGTATACTTAAAATAAAAATGTGACTTACCCCTAACCAGATCATAATATAAATTTGGAGGTCTCATCAAGGATTATAACAACTGGGGATCAATGTTGCAACACTTGGTTAAATGCTGCCTTGGTGTGAAGGATAGTCACACTCACCTTATCTGAAATTAACTTTTTTGCCCAAGTTTGGATTAAGATCAAATGTTTTAATTGGCAAATTGTGATGTTTTCCTATGCATAGAAATGCTATATAAATGAGTTATTTATATTTGCATGGATAACAATCCTCTCAGTGTAAGAAGAAGTAAGTCAAACATTTAAACACTGAAATATATACCAATGCCAGAAAAAAATGTTTGAAACCAAGACAATGATTTTGTTTTATCAGGTCAAAGGAAGGAGGAGCAGTTAAATTGTGGGATCAGGAACTGAAACGCTGTCGTGCATTCAGATTGGAAACTGGGCAGGCAATGGACACTGTGCGTTCAGTTTGCAGATGTAAGGTATGTCTATTAGTACTAGTTAAAACAAAGCTTATATATGTTCAGGGATTTATCAGCTGATGGGCCTCAACTTCAGTGTTTAAACTCTTGTATGTAATTGAGGAAAGTATGCAGCACTAGAAATAAGCCAAGTATTAACTCAAGAGGTGGGAGTGAAAACTTTCAAGCTTAGATGCTTTTAGTATATTTTTAAAACTTGCTTTACACTCTGAAAATTAAGCAGTCTTAGAACCTGTAAAAGCAAGCTGACAAGGACACCAACAAAAGTCCGAGTTATATCAAATAGCATCAGTTCTATTAAGGAGGCATGAATTCACTGGCACCTGCTGTTCTATCAATTTGTAGAATCAAATCTTAGTAGGAAATTAAGGTTGTGTTAACGATGCTCACCATTGTACATACAGTATACAAACTGGCAAGCAAGTGCAGGGGTTTAAGCGATACTAGTGATGAGCCTTCAGGACTTGTTCTTTATGCCTTTCTTCTATTTGCTTCATGCAGATAGCACCTTGCACTCAGCTTCCCCATTACTTAAGATATGTACTACATTTGCACATTAATTATCCTTTAAATTTAGCACAGAAATGTTAGGGCTGAAACCAACATTTTAACAAGTTGATAATAATACATTGTTAATCGACCTCTCTGGATCAGGAAGTCAACTATGTCAACAGTTGAATGTCATTTGTGTGAATAGTACTAATGTTAGTTTTACATTTTTAAAAAGTCATATTTTTAATTTTACGGTTTGTTCTTGCTTTGCTTTTCTTTTTCTCTATTAACGTTACTTCTCTCACCATGTATATCTTGCATGATTCTAATACATCCTCCTCCTCTGTTGTTTCTCTATTTCTTTGTTGATCTTTACATTTCATTGACTAAGAGGTTGCGTTGTTGGCTTCTCCATTCCATAATCCCAGATTACAGTGCAAAAGCATTTTCTGTCGAAGGGTGTCAGTAAACGTCTAAACAACTCTGTATGCCAGAAAGTCACCCATTCCTGCAAAATCTGGCCTTAGGTTGTCCTTTATTAATTTATTCGTTCACTGGTGATCCCTAGCTCCATTAGCCACCTGGAACTAAACAATATTATTGATTTTGTTAAAGGAAGTAGGAGAAGAGGAAAAGACAGTAGAATATATAAGGGTAACCTATGCCGCAGCTAATTTTCCAATCAGTGGTAGAAATATCTGCTGTCCAGCCAGGGCCAGTTTCACCTGCCTTTTCTCATAGCATTGAGGGAAGCAAGGAACTTGACAATGGAGGACGGTGCTGAGTTGGTTTTGAGTATGCTATTTTTCAGCAGATGGGAAGGTACTAAACTTGACCTTCAATAGGTGAGGTGCATTACTGCTTACAGGAGGCAGGAATTGGCTCCAGGTTTATTCTAAATGGAAAGGATAGGTGTAAACAGGATGCAGCAGGAACTGTCTTTCAAGAAAGAACAGGGAAAGTTTGTTCTCGGTGAAATTGAGAGAAGGCCTTTTATTTTTGCTATGTTGTGGTTTTAGTCACCCTAATATTTGGTGGAACAGGGAGGGTAATGAAATTTTGGCTTCGTGACAGGGAACATGGCAGGAGCTCTGACCTGTGCTTGAGGCTGGAAAGCAAAGTTTTTGCTCAGTGGATGAAGAGTGTGGTTATTCAGTTGAACGTCTAAGTTAGGTGGTGGTGTCCAACTTATGTTGAGGAAAGAAGTTCCCATGCAAATCCTACCATCGAACAGGACAAGAACAGTAGTACTGTGGGAATGCTATTCTGTTTTCATCATTCACATATGATCAGTTCTCCATAATCATTGGAACAATATCCTGAAAATTCCTACCCAGTACTATTGAGAGGACCTTCATCATGAGACCGCAGCAGCCACCACCAACTTCTCAGGACAACTAGTAATGGATGATAAATGTTATGCCATCATCACCAATATCCTAAATACCTGTTTTTAAATCTCCTCCAGGATGCTGCGGGGCACAATGAGGTGCCACTACAGCAACTCAGGGAGAAATTTATGACATTAAAAATATAGTTTTATACTGATTAAAAATGTGGATGTTAACTACTTTGCATATGCATTTTTTAATTTTTGCAGTCCTATTATTTTTATTTGTTATGCAATGTTCAAACACTAGTAAAATAAGGAATAAAAGATACTTAAATGCTGTGTTCTGTAACTACACAGTCCAAAGGTATTTATGGTGAATTTCTAAAGATTTTTATTTGTCAGGGAAAAATTCTGGTTGGAACAAGAAATGCTGAGATTATCGAAGTCGGTGAGAAGAATGCTGCATGCAACGTTTTAATTAACAATCACATGGATGGACCAATCTGGGGTCTTTCAACCCATCCTATTAAAGATATCTTTCTGTCTGCAGCAGAAGATGGGACTGTTAGGTTATGGGACATTACTGAAAAGGCAAGTGTGTACAACATTACATGATGGCTATCAAAAAGAACTTGGCAATGCAGTTATTTTGGTAGTTAGTAACGGTATGATCATCTGTCAATATGTGACTGCTGTAATGCTGTCATACTGAGCAAGCTATTTTTGATTAAAATCATTAATTACAAGAGAAACAAGATAGAGAAACCATAAAGATGACACTTTATCCTAAACTTTAAACTTTAACTTGTAAACTGTTTCCTAGTTTTATGTTGTTTCACTATTCTTAAAAAAAAACACAGGAAAGGATTTCACCAAAATGCTTGAATTCCGAAACAAATATTTTCAGAGGAAAATATATCAATCATAAAGACGTAGAGAGCAATGACATTGAGAAACTACATAGTACCAAATTGTATGGAAGGTACATTGATAGCTGTATACTATATCCTTAAAAAAAATATAAAGATTGTCAGACCGAAAAACAAGCCTTATGGAATAAACTGGCTTTCTGTCTTTACTTTTGGAATTTTAAGGATGAAGACTAATCAACTGTAAAATAAAATTACTTTTATCCCCTCTGCAAAATAAGCATTGAAACATTTGTGGGTATTAAAGGCTACATTACTAATTAGTAAATTGAGACATTTTAATGTGCATTTTCAGCTCTAAGCCCTTATTTTTAATTGTGTAACAGAAAATGCTGAATAAAGTAAACTTGGGGCACCCTGCTCGAACAGTTGCTTACAGTCCAGAGGGAGACATGGTAGCTATCGGTATGAAAAATGGCGAGTTCATTATACTTGTGGTGACGTCATTAACAATCTGGGGCAAGAAACGAGACAGGAGATCTGCCATTCAAGACATCAAGTAAGCAAACACAGGCAAACTCAAGAATGCCAGTCATTAAATTTGAAATAATACTGTTGATCTTTATTAAAGAAAGACGTGCATTTATATAGTATGTTTCATGGCCTCCACATGTCCCAAAGCACTTTACAACTAAAAACTACCGCTGAAATATAGTTAGAATTGTATCATGAGAAAAGTCATATTTAATACGTTCTAGTGTACCGTGAGAAACTGAAATCTGATTTTTGTTCATCTTTCATTGGAAAAATAAAATGTCCACCATAAAGTGACTACAATGTGAATAGTTATAAAGTTGTGGCATTTTGGGATGATCACTTTCTCTGTAAATTTATACAGCCAAATTTCTGTGTCAAAAATATTGCAATAACTAGTTATTCTATAAATTCATACATTGGAAATGGACATATGATGGATCACCTTGCTGTTTCTGCATCATTGGACCTGTCAGACAAAAATCTTAATACTTGTTGGTAGCTTGAAGTTTTAATTATACAAAATTATGGTAACATTTTGTAAATTTGCACGAGTTATTCATTTTTCCTGCACTGTATCTTTATACAGAATACACTTTGAAATCTCTGTTTTGTTTAGGTTCAGTCCCAGCTCTCAATATTTGGCTGTGGGGACATGTGAGAATGCCATTGACTTTTATGACCTCACGTTAGGACCAGCACTAAATCGAATCAGCTATTGTCGAGATATTGCCAGCTTTGTTATCCAAGTCGACTTCTCGGCAGACAGCAATTACATCCAGGTATTAATGGCATTCTGTTTATTCTGATTATATGATGTTTTAAGGATCAACAGGAATGGTACCATATTGCAATGATAATGCAGATGCCTTGACCAAGATTTGGAGAAATAAATTCAATCACAGTAGCTAGGGTGGCAAAATACAATGAAGCAAAATTGGAATTAACAGAAAAGATAGTATCAATAATGGAGGGTATGTTATTTGATTTTTGGCTGGTACATTGAAACCCTTTGGGAAAAGGAATTTGCCACCCTCATCCAGTTGGATTTGTGACTCCAGATCCAAAGCAACGTGGTTCACTGAATCACTTGCTAAGCTATTTAGAGCAGTTCTGAAGGCATATGCCTTCAAAGTAATTAGGGATGTCCAATAACTGCTGGCATTGTTAAGAACGCTAACATTCTGTTAATGAATAAAAAGCTAAAATAATGTGAAACAATATAATTTGAATAAAAACAAAGTTGCTGGAAAGGCTCAGCTTTTTGGTGGACAGAGTTCTGAGGAAGGGTCACTGGACCCGAAATGTTAACTCTGTTTTTCCCTTCACAGATGCTGCCAGACCTGCTGACCTTTCCAGCAACTTTGTTTTTGTTCCTGATTTACAGCATCTGCAGTTATTTTGGTTTTTATTTAATATAATTTAAATATAAGACATCTTGAAGCAATTTGAAATAGATAATTCTCCACTGAGGTAATATTCTGAGCATTTTTATCACTCAAGATCACCTTGCAGTTTAAATGTAGTTTTATTTAAAAGACCATTATTAAATGTAACATCTTATGGAGTTTAAATGTCAAAATCATTATTTCTCAAGACATAAGTCAACCAGATCCTGAATCATATTGTATTAAGCATGCGTACAATAAAGATAACTATTATCAAGGATTCCCAAGGTCTTTTTCCCAGAGTAGGGGAGTCCAAAAATAAAGAGCATAGGTTAAAGGTGAGAGGGGAAAGATTTAAAAGGGACCTAAGGGGCAACTTTTTCATACAGAAGGTGGTGCGTGTATGGAATGAGCAGCCAGAGGAAGTGGCGGAGGCTTGCACAATTAAAACATTTAAAGGCATCTGGATGGGTACATGAATAGGAAGGGGTTAGAGGGATATGGGCCAAATGCTGGCAATAGGGACTAGATTAATTTAGGACATCTGGACGGCATAGACAAATTGGTCTGAAGGGTCTGTTTCTGTGTTGTACAACTCTGACTCTATGATTCAGTCATCTAAGCAAATGTATTCAAATGGCTTGTCATTTTTATGTGGTTATTTACAGTGTGAAAGTCAGGATTAATAATTTTACAGGTTTCTACTGGATCATACAAACGACTGGTGTATGAGGTGCCTTTGGGAAAACAAGTTACTGAACAGTCTCGGATAGACAGAATAACATGGGCTACTTGGACCAGGTGAACTGAACTTTTTAAGTTGCTCATACGTTGTACCTTTAATAGAGATTAAATAGAGATTAATAGAGATTAATAGAGATTAATAGGAACAGCAACTCATATTCCGCTTGGGAACCCTGCAGCCCAATGGTATCAATGTGGATTTCACAAGTTTCAAAATCTCCCCTCCCCCCACCGCATCCCAAAACCAGTCCAGCTCGTCCCTGCCTCCCTAACCTGTTCTTCCTCCCACCTATCCCCTCCTCCCACCTCAAGCCGCACCTCCATCTCCTACCAACCAACCTCATCCCGCCCCCTTGACCTGTCCGTCCTCCCTGGACTGACCTATCCCCTTCCTAACTCCCTACCTACACTCACCTTTCCTGGCTCCATCCCCGCCTCTTCGACCTGTCTGTTTCCTCTCCACCTATCCTCTCCTCTATCCCTCTTCTATCCGCCTCCCACTCTCTCCCTATTTATTTCAAAACCCCCTTCCCCTCCCCCTTTTCTGATGAAGGGTCTAGGCCCGAAACGTCAGCCTCTCTGCTCCTATGATGCTGCTTGGCCTGCTGTGTTCATCCAGCCCTGCACCTTGTTGTCTCGGATTCTCCAGCATCTGCAGTTCCTACTATCTCTGATTCAATTGTACCTTTAATTATCTGGTTTAAAAGGGGGAACACTAATATGGTTAGCAATCCACTTACACACCTAGACTTTTTTGATGTCGTTTTATCCTACTACTACTATAGATAAGGCAAACTTTTCTGTTACTAAATTTGGAGAAAAATGAAGGATGTGAGAATCCATTTGATACATTAAAGTTCTAATCCTAATGTTAGAAGGCAAACTCCGCTTGGAGCATCCAACTATATTTTGAACTGTTGCATGTGCTGCCCAAATACTTACTCTTTAGATTAAAGCAGTTCTTAACTGCTTCTGGCAAAATCTAGGCTTGGACTGACAAGTGGTAAGTAAGTGCCAGGTAATGACCAACTCCAACAAGTGAGAATCTAACCATTGTTCTTTGATATTTAATGGCATCACCATCACTGAAACCCTACTGTCAACATCCTGGGGATTAACATTGAGGAGAAACTAAACTGGACTAGTCGTATAAATATAGGGGCTGCAAGTGCAAATTAGATGCTAGGAATCTGCAGCAAAAATTCACCGCCTGACTCCCAAAGCCTGTCCATTACCGAAAGTCAGGAGTGTGATGGAATACTCAGCACTTTCCTGGATAAGTGAAGTCCAAGAACACTCAAGAAGCTTGACACCATCCAGGACAAAGCAGCCCGCTTGATTGGGACCACATCTACAAACATCCAGTTCCTTCACCACCAATGTTAAGTAGCCACAATATCTACCATCTACAAGATGCTCTGCAGAAATTCACCAAGGTTTTTAGACAGCACTTTCCAAACTCAGGACCACTACCACCTAGATAGACAAGAGCAAAAAAGACATGGGAACAGGATTGCCTGCAAGTTCTTTTCCAAACCACGAACGATGTCAGCATCCCTTCAATGTCGTTTGGTAAAAACCCTGAAACTTTCTCTAATGGTTCAAGAAGGCAGCTCACCACCACCTTCAGGGACAATTAGGGATGGACCATAAATAATGGCCCAGCTAGCAATGTCCACATCCTGTGTGTGAATTAAAAATCATCTTTTTGCAAAATATAGTTGCAACAATTTTCTTCCAAACATGTTTATTTTCACCTATTAACCTGCATAAGCTTCTCTATAGTATTTACAATACATTATATGTGTCAAAACTACCCTAAGCATGCTTCTGCATTGCAACGCTAAGCTGTAAATGTTTACTGCTACCATTCATTGCTGCTTCCCTTTATATGGATCTCTAACCTTCTCTCATGGGTCATGCTCTTTACTCTTAAGAGTCAGGCTTCTTCATTTCTGATCCATATGCATGTCCATTCAAAAACAAATGACTATAAACACCAGAAATTTAAACTTATACAGTGCATAACGAAACCTCTGTGAACAGTAAAACAGTTAATAACTTGAATTCTCTGATATTAGGAGTCCACAATTACTCAAATCATGTTTTCTTGGGACTCTGAGCAAGTCTGAAGGTGAAAATCCACTCAGTAGTGTACTTACATGAATAATTTAAGCTTCTGATTGCCAGTTATACCCTGCCTGGACTGCTTCACAATAGCCAGAAAAGATGTACTTAGAGCCTTTAGAATAGATGGAAAGTCTGCTCAGGAGCATATATCAAAGCACAACAAATATATTCACACAAACATCCCAGCACTGCACACTCTGTCTATCATTGAATCCAGGAGCAAAAGGTGAAGCAGCTCCAGTGTAAAATGGTAAGTGGGCAGATGAAATCACAGTCAGCAGTTAGCACACCCTCTCCAACGTTTTCTCACCTGAGGCATTGAATGGCATAATGCATACAGTCTCTATCTTCCAGCTGAAAATTTGCCCCATTGTTCTTTCGGGAGTGAAACATGTGGTTCTCAGACAACAGATTTATGTCAGTCAGAAATATTGAACTTGGCTTACTATTCATTTTCCTGCTTTTGCTAATGGTATTATAACACTGCTATTAAAACCAGGTGAGTGGAGGGTGAGCTGGCTCCCCTGGTTTCAACCTCTCTGGTTTGATGCAACAAAGGTTTAAGTTCTGTTTGAGCACAGGGCACAACCTTTGTCCATTTAAAATAGTAACTAATTTGTACTGAAGCAGTAAGGAGCCAATCACAAGACTTCCTTGAATTAAAGAACAAATTTATCACCTAGTCCTGAAGAAAATGAAGATGAAAGATCAACATATAGCCTTTGTGCAATCACTTAGGTCTTTGCTGTCTCTTAAACAGTTAATGTGGATAGTGTCCAATTTATTAGTCTGGCTCTTGAACTGTCAGTGGTAACAAAAAATGCAATTATCGTGTATGTTATCAGCTTTCTCCCGTTTCTTTCCAGTCAGGTTTGTAACTGTATACTTTATTACTTGAAACAGAAAGAGGGCCTTTTCTAGTTATAGTTTCAGTTCTGCAGACTAAAATCCAATATTTGCCCTGCAAAATAACTTGAATATACTGTTTGTATATTCCCAGTATGCTGAAAATTTATTTTTAGGCTTCAGCAAGGCTCAATCACCATGTGGAAATTCTTTTTAAAACAAGGTATAACCAAAACATGAAATGATGGCCTTTTTTTGACCCCAAGGATTGGGGCAGGGGTAGTTTTGCTTACCTCTGGATGAAATGTTAATTCCACAATGGTTTCATAAAACCTTGCCAACCAGAAAAGGCCCTCTTTCTGTTTCGAGTAATAAAGTATACAGTTACAAGCCTGACTGGAAAGAAACAGGAGAAAGCTGATAACGTAAATGGTGATTGCATTTTTTGTTACCACTGACAGTTCAAGAGCCAGACTAATAAACTGGACACTATCCACATTAACTGTTTAAGAGACAGCAAAGACCTAAGTGATTGCACAAAGGCTATATGTTGATCTTTCATGTAGGTTACATAATCCTTGTGGCTCTTTTAATTCAATTGTTTGTCAGTTTCTAAATTCATTTCACAGTTCATATTTTACATTATTGTGTCCATCTAACTTCATTTAAAAATATTTTAAACCTCCTTTTCTGAGTGCTTTTTACATGCAACAGTACCCATTTGTTTTAATTTGAAAATGGGTTAATTTTCAAAACTCCAGGATTGGCATAATTTATTCCAAGAACGATGCTGTGCAATTAACCTCTAATTTGTTGATTCAGGTAAAATCTGAGCCTTGGTCAATCAGCATTCTCTGTTTTCCAAAACTGTAGGATTTAAAATGAATAACTTTTTCCAGTATGCTGAACAAATGATTGAGTTGCTTTTTTGACTCCTGGGCATGCAACACTATCAGATATCAGAAGAATTTGGAAATTTAAAGCACATTATGTTGAACTTGAACAGGGTTTCCATAACCTTTAACGTTGGTTTAAAAAAAGTACAAAACTGGAAGCAAGTGCTACCCACAAGTCAAAAATGGGCATGGTGAATTTATGTTGATATGTTTGTTCTGTGAGGAGCCTTTTAAAATTCAACTGTTACTTTACATCTAAATAAAAATTAAGTTTTTGAATCTTTAATTTACTAAGAAACCAAGTACACCAGTTAGACAAGTAAATTGTTCAGAATAGTCTTAAAAGGAATTTTCATTGTAGGTGGCTTGCAGCAGGTAGGTATTTATTATAAGGCTTTTTTTTCTTAAATCCATATAAAGCTGTTTTAATAAAAACTGTATGTGTACCACCCTCAACTTCTCAACTAATTATTAAAAATGCTCTAATTTGTTGTTTTAATGGAAGACTAAGATTTATGCAAATAAGATTGGCTAGAGCCCTGACTGCAGCTTAGAAAAATGACCTCTATAAAGCAGAAACTACACAAAGGCAAACTTAAGTCCGTCTTCATCACCAATAAACTAAAGAGTGGCGAAGTCACTGAAAAACTTCCAAATTGTGATATTAGAAAATACGATGGCTATCTTCAACTTAGAATGGATGCCGCAAAAAATAATGAAGCACAAATGTTTAATTAATGCACCCGGTCAAATTTAAAGGGCTACATTTGCAATTTACAAGTTTTCTTTCTTGTAGTATTCTGGGTGATGAGGTCATTGGAATTTGGTCTCGAAATCTCGATAAAGCTGATGTGAACTGTGCCTGTGTGTCTCATTCGGGCCTGAACATTGTAACAGGTGATGATTTTGGCTTGGTGAAGCTCTTCGACTTTCCATGCACAGAGAAATTTGTAAGTCTTATTTCCTAACTTCTTGAAAAGCGGGTCAAATTTAAAAGAAAATATACTTTCCAGTCAAAAATTTTTGTTAGATTCTCTTCCTGAACTCCAGAAATATTTTACTGACGGGGATGTTTAAGTGACATGTAATCTGGCATTACATCAGCTAACTCAAAAGTTCTCATGTTTATATAATGTTTTCCAGAAAAAAAGTTATATTCATGATTTATGTTACTCTGCTGTAAAGCCGTTGTTAACCATCCTGTAACTTTTTCCATTAACTGCTGGACTTCTCCAAATCACTGCCCTCTTGGCTCAATATTTATTTTCTTTATCATTCAATCCTACCCACTCTACATTGCTGTTTCTTCGGAAAATGTGCCTCAGGATGGATAGCCTACCACTCCTCTCACATAACAATGACTGAATCATACAGCACAGGAACTGACAATGCAGCCCATTGTGCTGATGCCGGTACTAATAACGAACTAAATAAAAACCGAAAGAACTGCAGATGCCGTAAATCAGAACTACAGTTCTTAGGGTCACCACGTCCGAAACATTAACTCTGATTTCTCTTCACAGATGCTGCCAGACCAGCTGAGCTTTTCCAGCAACTTGTTTTTGTTACTAATAATAAGCTACCTGATTAATCCCACACCTTCACTATGGTCCTTTTAAGTATTTGTTCAATTCAATGTTATTGAATCAGTTTCTGTCATCCTTTCAGGGGCACTATTGCAAAGGTCTTGTGGTGCAGTGATAATGGTAAATTGTATGTTGAATACTTAAGTCAGTTCTTTAAAGGTATTATGATTGTTGTACATATGCTCTTTCTAAAAATACAGTTAAAGTATTTGATTTGTTAGCAAAAAATGTCATCATGAAACTTGGAAGCTATAAAATATGGCAAGATAGTAGACAGTGGTGAAATTAGAAGTGATTCAGTTCGTTAGAAAGGTTTAGAGAGAGTAGATGTTGGTGTGTTTGCCGAGCTGGGAGGTTTGATAGACGTTTTGTCCCCTTACTATGATATCCTCAGTGCTGTGGAGTCTCCAATGAAGCGCTGTTGTCTTGTGCCGGTTTGAATTTATATGGTCTGGTTTTTGCTGCTTCCGGTTGTGCATTGTAATGGTAGGTATATCAGGTCTAATGCAGTGTGTTTGTTCTTGAGTCTGTGGATGAATGCCAAGCCTCCAAGAATTCCCTGGCTGTCCTCTGATAGTAGTGTTGTCCCAGTTGAAAGTGTGGTTTTTCTCGTCTGTGTGTATTGAAACCAAGGACATCTGGTCGTTCCATTTAGTTGCTAGCTGGTGTTTGTGGTTGCGGGTTGCTAGTTGTCTGCCCATTTGTCCCACGTAGTGTTTTGGCTTGTTGTCTGTTGGCTAGGCATCTGTGGATGAAGCTGCAGGGATATCCATTCCTGGTAAAGACCGTGTAGAGGTGTTCTTCTTCCTTCTGCAGATCAGGTGTGCTGCAGTGTGTAGCGGACCTTTTGAACAGGAATGGATATCCCTGCAGCTTCGTCCACAGATGCCTAACCAACAGGCAACACAGCCAGGACACACCAAAACCCGAAACAATAGCCACCGTAGTGTATATAAGAAACACATCAGAACTGACAGCCAGACTACTCAGACTGCTAGGAATCATGACAACCCACAAACCGGCAGGCACACTAAGCAACTGACCAGGGTTAAAGACCTAATGGACAGGACAAATGTGGTTTACAAGACATCATGCGAGACTGCACAAAATACTACGTGGGACAAACGGGCAGACAACTAGCAACGCACATCCACGTACACCAGCCAGCAACTAAACAACACGACCAGATGTCCTTGGTTTCAATACACACAGACAAGAAAAACTGCAGACTTCATTAACAAACCCATTTGAATTAGACCTGATTGACCAACCATTACAACACACAACCAGAACTGGCATCTACCGGAAGCAGCAAAAACCTGACCACATAAATTCAAACCAGCATAAGACAACAGCGTTTCACAGGAGGCTCCACAGCAGTGAGGATGTTACCTAGTAAGGGGACAAAATGTCTGCTATCAAACCTCCCAGCTCCGTGAACACACCACCGTCTACAACCAGCACCCGAGCTACAAATCTTCACTCAAACCCTGAAGATTGAGATTGTATAAACTAAATGCTACAATTTTAATTTGGAGGAGGACAGAACTGTGGTGTATATCCTCCAGCCTTTCAAAGTGTTAAAATGGTATAAGACCCTCTGCTTCATAAATAGGGATAGTACCACACTTAAGGCAGTTATACAAAACCTTTAAAATACAAATTTCATATCCAGTATGTTTGATTTTTTTTAGCAAAGATGGTGAGACAAAAGCTCATAAGGTAAGGCATCAAGGTTAAAATGACACAAATAAGTCACAAACTACTTACTGATTTGACTAAGATTTATTTTTAAAATGATGAGCATAAAAAAAAACAAAAGTTAATGAGGTACGGAAGAGCTAAAAGCAGCAGAGAGGAAAAAAATTAGAGTTTTTATTTAAATAAGCTGTGGGCAGAGGGTGAAATGACCAGGGTCCATTTATTTGGAGCTGTGGATGAACAAAAGAAATAAATGGTTTTGACATTATCATAGGAGACACTGACTAGGAATAGGTTACAATTAAAGGACTTAGTCAAAAAAAAAAATTAGCTTTTTCTACATTAATGCAAATTATTTCACAGTTTTCATTAATTTTAGACCTCCATGCTGCTTGACTCATTCGTCTTTCCCTTTTGTGATGTTTTCTTGTACATGTACAAACTCTCCCTTATTACTTACTACAGCACTTTTACATTCCAACTGTCTTGATTCATAATGCACTGCAGCCACGGATTTACTTAATCACACTTGCATCATCTTTGTCCTTTTGCTTGTTCCTCTGCTTTGGCCTTTCATACATGAGCCTTTTATTGTCTAGTTCAATCATCCAGCACAAGATTTGGCTGAAATGACACTGGACCTCACTTTCCTTTGTTGAAACTGCCTACTATTCCACTATTGTTCTAGACAGCAAAAATAATCCTTGGTTTCTTTTATTGATTACAATCACCTTAAACTAGCTTTCTTGACCCCTTCAAGAGTGTCCTTAAAACTGAAGCAACTGTTTAGTGGCTGCTGATATTTTCCTGATGCTTGCACGTAAAACCTCTCCCAGGTTTTCCCTCATCATAGTTCTGAACCTACATCTTTTCCATAGGATCAATCTTCTGTTTTCTTTACTCCATTTGCATTGAATTTCATTTGAAACTCTGCCTGCATTTTAACTGGCACCAAGCCACCAATACACCTACATTGATTTCATTGGACTACTGTGAAATCATCAATTTTAAAACCCCTGGTGGCCTCAGGTCAGTACCCACTCCCTTTACCCTATTTAGAAGCTATGCCTTTCATTATTTATTGGTCACAATTTGGAGGTCCCACATAAATCTCCTCCTTTTTTGTTTCAGAATGTTATAACTTGAACAATCTCTCCTACTATATCTTTCTTGATTTGATCTCCTATTGTTGTTTAGTCATGTATGAAGAAGTGCTGTGGCATCTTTAACCTTTTTTTAAGAAAAATACTAATTCATTCAAGTTGCTCTAACATACTGTGCTGCATAACTGATAAAGAACAGAATTTTCTTTACAAAATGGGTTGCAGTAATGAAAAAGTGCTTTCTTTTGCTTACACAGGCAAAACACAAAAAATATCTGAGTCACTCGGCTCAGATTGCCAACATAAAATTCACTAGTGGAGACAGATACGTCGTCAGTGCCGGAGGGCAAGATTGTAGGTATGTTTTGAATTATTTAAGTGGAAAAAAAGACATGGTATCAGTGTCGGAATAAGTGTTTAGAAATGCAAACATATGTATTGTGTAAATAAAATAATCCAAGAAGCTAGATGTCATTTCAAGAATTTACATTTAAATAAACTAAATTTTTATTTTTCCTCCCCAATTCAAGTTTATTTGTCTGGAAATGTTTGTGAAAATACAAATGGCCATGAAAAAAAGCCTGGATCACAAAAGAAGAATCAAGATATTCATTAGAAAATAAAGCTGGAAATGCTCAATGTATGAAAATAAGGCAGCTAAGCACTAATCTGCAAAACAAGAAGGCAGTTTGTTTTCAAAAGTGTAAGACGATTTTCAGCTATCTTGGTTTAAGGCAATTTGTCAGATTTTCTACTGCACAGCCATGTGTATATTGATGCAGTGGTAACAGTATTCAAATCATTCATGAACTTTAGGACAGAGCTTGTATTCAAACTTCAATACTGGTGTACAAATTATTTTGACCATTCTACATCTATGGTCCTGTTGTCAAGGACACAATTGCTAAACAATCGTGTGGCAATGCCATGAAAATGGTTAATTGAGTTCTATCAATATACAAAAAATGAACAATGCGCTGTAAGTATACTGCTAGATATAACACAAGCTTAATATCTTCACTTTATTGTGCTGTAGCTGATGTGATAAGTAGCCTTAAAACAATGACCTTGTGCTTTTCAAAATGTTTCAGTGCTGCGGAGTGTTGTGAACAGACAGAATGGTATCTAGTGGCCTTCATCCTGAATGTACCAGCTGAGTAATATTAGAATCAGTGTAAAATCTGAAGCAAGCATGCCAAAGTATACTATGCACTACTGTACCAATCACTGTGGCAACCTGAACAATTACATTTAGTTCAGTGTAAAAAATGTTTGTAATTTTTATCATGTGTTGTTTGCAGACATAAAATCGGCAATCCTGCAAATTATTATAATTTTTCCATTTATGTAGTATATAAATGAAATGCAGTTTCTTGAAGCACATAGTAAATGTGTGTCATTTTGACGTGTATTCTACATATTAACAGCATCCCAGGGTGCAGTATTATGAAGAATCACTAAGTATTGAACTGCTGGTTGTCTAAGTTGTACTGACGTCAAGCTTTGAGTAATAGCTAAACAATTTCTGTAATGTTAATATATATTATGAATAGAATAGAAATTTATTATCACATGTACTTTTACATGAAAAATAGTGAAAAGTTTTATAAGTTGCCCCACCACGGCACCTACATCAATGACAATATTTCATATAGTTTCGTATGTTAACTAAAAGCAAACTAAATACCTGTAACTTTTTAATACTTAATATTTTATTCATCTATAACAAGTCCATTTGAATGGTTTATTGATGTAAATTTAATCATTGTGAAATTATACTGAATGAGTTTAAATCCGTTTCAAGAAATTGCACTGTTGGCAACCGTATTTTACTATAACTTATGCAATATCAAATGGCATTATTGTAATATTTGAAATTATGAGTTGCATTGTGCCATTGGAGTGAATGAAATTTAACAATTTTGATTTCCTGATTTTGTTGCATCTCTTGTATTTCCCAATCACATTCCAGATAAATCAATGACATGAAAAGACAAATAGAATTCCTAATGGGGTCCTGCTAATGAATTTGACTACTGCACAAGAAAATGAAAATATATTTCACCAACTTCCTCAATATAGTCCACTGTCAAATGAAATAAAATGTTGCAAAGGGAGATGCAGTTTTTCAGACAGTGCTGTTAATTGAAAGGCATTGATTCAACATAATGTATTTATAAAATCTAAATGCTGTCATCACACCACATAATTACTCAAATATCAATGGAAATGGAAACAGCTATCAAAATATTACAATTGTGTGTATTTGTGCCTGTAGGTACTAAATCTTGTTTCTCAGGCACTTTTTGGCTTGAACCATTTGAGCTTTTGCAAACAAGCCGCAAGATTGGCTCTATGCAACTAGAAGAACAGATTCTACCTGCAGATTGAGATTGTACAGTTGATTTAAAGTTATTTTATATTCAACCAGCTGAGGATGTCTTGTTACTAGCAATCATAGTTCAATGTTATTAACCAAGACTCCAAGCAATTTTGTAACAAAAACCAGAGTTCTTTCATTTGCAAATCATGTTATTTCAATAGCTAACTTCTAATGAGGAACATGCAGAAGCCAAGACAAACATGTGACTTAGTTACTGCACTTAACCATATTTCAAGGCACCAGACAATTCCCAACCTGAATATTTTTTCAAAGGAATTCAAAATCCAATGGAAATAAAATATAGCTTAAAATAATATTCAAGTTGATTGTTTTTTGTGTCACAAAAGTAGTTTCAGCAAGTGTTGTGCCCTAAATATTCAACTACTATTCAAAATTCCTGGGATATGGTGTGGCATAACTAAGTCCCTTGTGGGCAATGGTGGGGATAAAGTTCGGTGCAGTATTCTACAAATAAATAGTTACTGTTTCTGCACAACAATTACAGTTCATAGGGATTTAATACTAATTGCAATGTTAATGTGTGACTAATATCAAAAAAAAATTCTGATGTCTATCCAATGTAAATGATCCTAAATAGATGAATTACAAATAAACAATACAACAGTAACTGATTCATTGAACAAGCGCCTTAAATCAATTTTTACTGTAGAATAGTTTTGTTAACAAAAGGGATGTTACATCAGGCAACGGCATTTCCTCTTTGGATATTTCATCATCCAGTAGAAAACTCTAGAACAGCACAAAACAAGTTACAAAATGTACCTTTAAAACCCACCACTGAATAATCTTAGTGAGGCTGCATCTATGTATGGGAAAAATAATCAAGTCAATTCACACTGGGGAGAAAGTTACTTTTAACATCAAAATCTTTTGATTTTCAATGTTAAACAATATTGAAAAATAATACAAAATTGTAAAATGCTACATCTTCAAACATTTGCAGCTGTATATCCACAATATGCGATCAAGCACAATCCAAACCGATCATTCACTGAAAGAGAGTAAAAAAAGTCTCAATTCATTTTATGAATAATAGCTATTATCTTACAAATCCTGCTTATAAAGCAAATATTTTGTTTTGTTTTTACAGTATTTGGGTCCAAAGGAGCATAAAATCAAAACTTGTAAAAGGCTGTCTGCAATTATTGCAATATTTACTGAACTTATATTTATATAATCAACAAAAGTTTTACTCTACTCTACAAAGCTATTTACCCATTTTGTTGAGACCTGGTCCACTTTAATGCATGACGAGGAGGTAATGTAACTGCAGGATGGTAGAATGTGCAGTCAGCTCTCTTACAGTGGGTGCTGAATCGACATGGCTGGGAACAACATAACAATAGAGTCACTACTCTCTTAATTCTTCACTTAAACAAATCTTCTGATCATTTCAAATTAATCTGCATACCTTTGGATGGATAAAAGGGCACTCCACTTTTTTGCAATCTGGAAAGAATCGACACAAAGAACTGCTTGGACTTGTTGCAGGTGCTGCAGAACAAGAGTTCTTTTTAAAAAATGCATTGTGAACAAATCAGAAGTTAATAATTAAATAGGTACTTTAGTAACATAAGTGAGAGCAGAGTAAAATGCCAGTATAATTTCACAGTTTACTGTGTGTTGTAAAATGTTAGTAGATAAACAATGTAAAATTTTTATATTATAAACTCCGATGTTCCTACTTTAATGGAAACAACCTTCGCAAATTAGTGATATTGCAATTATACCTACCACTGCCCCTCCACCCAGGGGAGGCACTGCATCACCACACTCGTGTGTAATTACAGTATAATAAAGTTATTCTAATTAATGTGGAACAAGGAATTTATAATAGAAAAATGGAAAAAAATAAGAGACTGCAAGTCTCAAATTGTGATTCAAATTACATCTGCTTGACTCATACTATGCTGTCTTGAGACAATAGGATTACTCGACAGAAGATCAATCTCTCTTTTTCGCTCTCTCTCTCTACTTAGTAAGTATAGGGCACCAGTGATCTGAAAATCTCAGCAATACAATCTGTGCAGTTTGCTACACTGCCATTTCCCAGAGATCGATCATTATAGCCTGATTTTAACATGCTAATCAGGGCCCCATTACACAAAGTTTGAGAAACTGATAGGCAGGACTTGCACCATCAACTTGTTGGTATCAGATGTTATGCATTACAGAATGCACTTAAACAATTTATTTGATTCTTTTTAAAAAATCAAAAAAAAAGCACACCTAATTTTTAATGCCACAGTACAGCATCCTAGGGTCTGCCTTAGTTCTGAGATGAAAGGTGGCAGTAGAATTGAAAAAGTCAATAGTGTGGCCAAATCCTTGCCAGCATGTAAGAAGTAATACGTGGATGTACTCAAGTAAAACAATATGAATAATAATACAAGAAACAACCTCTGAAATCACAATGCGTTTGAAGTTTGCTTTTTTCTTATAATGAGAAGGATTTGTACTTCTAAAACTGAACTATCATTTAGACCAACACTATATATAAACAAATCAAGTCATTTAAATGTAAGAGAATCACCTCTGAATTTAAAACACGGAAGCTCGCAGGTAATGCTATCACAGGGTACTGATCTTATTCTCACCTGTGGCTGCCAACACAAGGCTACACAACCAACCCTGTAGTATCCGATTGCTGCTCTGTTACATTGAACGATCTCACCCGATTCCCTTGGTAGGTAACTATTATGTGCTGTGACACTAGGTTAAAAGGCTAAAATAATCTTTTTTGTTTAATATCGATTAATGCAGTGGATCTGTACATTGCTGTTTTATCTGTAGGTCATCGCAAATAATTTACCTTGAAAATTTACCTTGCCTACTCTAAAAAGGTCCATTTGGAAGTATTTTAGGCAGTTCCGACCCAATTTCAAATGGCCGTCAACTGACAGCAGAAATTTACATGCTAGGTGCCAGCTTTGTGCCAAATTGTATGTGGCCAAGTTCTGGCCAAGCAATGACGTTGTTGTAATATCCTTCATTAGCAAAACCATGTAAATACAGAATGAGTTACTTCCATCATTTCTGCAAATTTACCTTCTGGTGATCTTCGACATTAAGATGCATGTCTACATACATGAAGCAACACTTAATTTACAAACCTGGCTGTTTTTGTAGTACTGCAGTCCTTTTGCTTGCATGTGTGTATGGACAGTCTGACCTAATGCACTTGGAGTCATACTTGCAATTTGGATGAATAAACAGGCACTTGTCCCCAAATTTACACTTTGGAAATGTTCTGAGAAAAAAAAGTAAGTTATTAATAAATGCAGTCAAAGGTTTCAGTTAATGGAAGAATACCAGAAATGAACTTCTAAACAAACGGCATAATTTTCAAATAAAATATATATTTCTCCACAAATTTAAAATTAATATTTATTTCAATGGGTTTTGGAAAAAAAACGTTTGAAGTTATAAACTAAAATTCCATACTTATAAGCAAGCAAAATTGCAGTAAATTTATATTTTTACATAGGTGGTCACTTCAATTAGAACCTGGGAGACTGCTCACTACACTTTCCTCAATTCAAATTAATTGTTGAGAGCTTTTATTAAGAGTTTACAAACATGGGGGTAGGGATCTTCCAGCACAGTGGTAGTGTCCTTACTTCTGGGTCAGAAGGTTCGGTTTTAATCCCAACTGACCCAGATGTATCATAACATATCTGAACAGTTAATTAAAAATATCTACAAACCTAATGCTGGATAGGGAGGAAGATTTAGTTATTTAAAGAGTCGGCTCATAGACTCATGCTATCAGAGCCAAGTGAATTGCAACATAAGGCAATGCAAGGATACTGTTATGAAGCTATACCGTATTTTAAAAAACCATGAATTTATTGGCTGGAAACTACTAGTTGAATTAAAAGAGACTATAACCAAATTCCAATGACTTGAAAGCGTAAAGATGGTCAAGTATTTGCATCTTCTACATTCCAGAGCCACTGAAATGGAGACAACCTGTCTACAAAGCTTTCAAGGAATTGTTCCCGTTGATGAGTATGAATATAGGCCATCTCCTATTCTATTAGCAAAACATCCAACCACCTGCAGACTTAGCTGAGTGGAGACACACCTTTACACATAATCACATGGAAGTAGGACTCCAGCTGTGAAAGTTGTTTGTCCAAATAACATCTAATTATGTAAGTCATACACCTGGAATCCAACTGTAACACTTGGGGTTGGCCAGTTGACAGTCATGGAAGAAGTCAGCTGTGTGTTTAAGCAACCATTTTCTTTGAAGACCAGCACAAGCAAAGAAATACTGACAACAAAGATCTTTATAAAAAATTCCAAACCAGTATCTGGTCCCAAAAATGCAAGGAAATTAATGTCTACACCTTTAAACTGACTCTCAACCAAACCCAGAATGTCTGACTGTGGTCTGAAGCTACGAGCTACCCAAATTTTCAAAAAATATATGCATTCTATCGGACTTTAAATTGTTTGATTTATCCTCCCACTCTGTATCTACCTGTGTATGTGAATTTAAGAGTAAATGCAAAAGTTGCTGCTTTTTTTATCAAGTTCAATTTTCTATTCTCTTTATAAACAAAGGAATGTGTCTTTTATATTCACAACACAAACATTTAAGACACTCACCTGAATTGGCAAACATAATTTAAGAAGAAAATCTATTGCAGTCTGACAAGGAGTGGGAAGACAAGGAAGCCATTCTATCCTTCCTCACTGGATTGCAACAGTACAATAATTTCACCACAATAATGGAATTATACCACAATTTCAATGGAATCACGCTACTGAGTAAACCTGTTTATGATATGATGTGTATCAAAACTGTTCTAAAAAAATCTACAACTAACTGAAATAAAGTCTGTATGTGCACAACTTTAGGAAATTTCATTTTGGTTTTGATGTACATGTAACAATACACAATAGCTCTTCCTTCTTTTCCTCATATCAATCTGAAAGTCATGCAGAGTTAAGAGACTGAAGAACCCCATTTAATAGCATATCTAAATCTGGCAAAGGGTTAGTGAGGGAGAGACCTGTCTGGGATGGTGCATGAGCTTCGAAGAGATTAACATCAAGAAACATCCTAGATTTGGAGACACGACAGATAGTGGTTTAGTGTATGATTTTACCTCTACTTGGCACTCTCGAGTTCATCTAAAAACACAGCTTTAGTTTTTTTTAAAAATGTGTATGCTGATGACACCTAGCTCTATCTTGTTTACTTCTTGACATTCAATTGTTGATGGATTATCAGACCATTTATCAGATATCCAATCTTGGATCAGTAGAAATTTGGACAAATTCAGAAATCTGAAGCCATTGCTTCAATTCCTGCATTGAATTCTGTCACCTTTTTCTCAAATGCATTCCTTGTTTCTCCTGGCAACTGTTTGAGATCAAGTTATTCTGTTTGCAACCTTGGTATTATAATAAGATAATGAGACAATGAGATGAGCTTCCAACATCATGATCACACTATCACTAAGACCCACCTCTGCGTCCATATCTTCGCCCAACTAAACTGCTGCTGAAACAATTATTTATAGCTTTGTTGTTACTCGACATGACCATTCCAAAGCTTACCTGGCTGGTTTCCCATATTCTGTTCTTGTAAACTTAAGGCCATTCGAACTCTGTCCCATTCTCCTACGACCACTGTACTAACGAACCTAACATCTACTCCCAGTCAAGCAACGTGTTGATTTTAAAACTCTCATTTTTATTTCCAAGTCACCCTATGGTCCACCCCTCCCTATGTCTATAATTCCCTTCAGTTCCATAACTCTGATATATTTACCTTTGAGCATCTCCAATTTTATTTGCTTCACTATTAGGACATAGAACAGTAAGGCACAGGGAACAGGCCCTTGGTCCACCACTTCGGTGTTGCCTATGATGCCATTCAAAACTAATTTCATCTGCCTGCATAAGGTCCGTATCCCTCTATTCCCTGCCTATTCATCTGTCTAAATGCCTCAAACATGGCAAAAGCAGATATGATAGCAACCACATGTAGAGCTGGATAAATACAGCAGGCCAAGCAGCATCATAGGAGCAGGAAGGCTGACATTTCGGGCCTAGACCCTTCATCCAGCTCTACACCTTGTTATCTCAGATTTTCCAGCATCTGCAGTTCCTACTATCTATGATAGCAACTACACCTGGTAGCAATTTCTAGACACCAACCACCCACCATGTGTGTAACAAAAACTTGTCTCGCATATCTCCTTTAAACTATTCCCCCTCTCTCCTTAAACTTATGCCCTAGTAGACATATCCAGCTTAGGAAAATGATTCTGACTATCCACCCTATCCACGCTTCTTATAATTTTATACACGTCTTTCAGGTCATCCCTCAGCCTCCAACAACTCTAATGAAAACAATCCTACTTTGACCAACCTCTCCTTATAAGTAATACACTTCAATCCAGATAATATCCTGATAAAAACTCAAAAGGACTGCAGATGTTGTAAATCAGAAACAAAACCAGAAATTGCTGGAAAAGCTCAGCAAGTCTGGCAGTTCCTGTGAAGAGAAATCAGAGTTAACGTTTTGGGTCCAGTGATCCTTCCTCAAAACTGTTTCTGATAAACCTCTTTTGTAACGTCTCCACAGCTTCCACATCCTTCCTTTAGTGTGGAGACCAGCACTGCACACAATACTCCAAATGTGGCTGAACTAAAGTTTTATATAGCTGCAGTATGACTTGCCAACTTTTATACTCCCTGTCCTGACTGACAAAGGCAAGCATGCTACACGACTTGTTTATCATCTTATCCACTTATGTTGATATTTTCAGGGAGCTATGAACTTGTGTCCCAAGATATCTTTGTATATCAATGCTCCTAAGGATCCTGCCATTTACTGTATACTTCCCTCTTACATTTGACCTCCCAAAATGCATCACCTCACCTTGTCCAGATTAAACTCTATCTGCCATTTTCCACCCAACTTTCCAACTAATCTAATCTTGCTGTATCCTTTGACAACCTTCCTCACGGTCCACAACTCCACCAATTTTGCAAACTTACTAATCAGACCTCCTACAGTTTCACCCAAATCATTTACTATTATTACAAACAACAGAAGCCTTAGCTCTGATCCTAACAGACGTGACTGGTCATATATCTCCAGTCAAAGAGACATCCCTCCACAACTACCTTCTGTCTTCGACAAGCAAGCCAACTTTTGCATCTAACTTACCAACTCGCAGTTGATGCCATGTGGCTTAACCAGCCTACCGTTAGGGACCTTGTCAAATGCTTTGGTAAAGTTCATGTAGACAACATCCATTGCCCTAACCCCAATCATCTTTGTCACTTCCTCAAATAAACGCAATCAAATTTGGGACACAAGATCTCCTCCACAGAAAGTCACGTTAACTATCCCTAATAAGCCCATTCTTTTTCAAAATGCCAAGTAAATCCTGTCCCGAAGCAAGTGTCTAGCAATCTCCTTCCTTACCTCTCTCATATCCTGGGATAGATCCTATAAGGCCCATGGCACTTACCTACCTTACTGCTTTTCAAGACACCCAAGACCACCTCCTCAATATCTACGTGCCCTAGAATATTAACATACCCCTCTCTAATCTTACCATCATCCATGTCCTTCTCCTTGGTGAATACTGATGCAAAGCATTAAGGACCTTGCCCACTTCTTCTGGCTCCACACAAATTCTCTCCTTTGTCCTTGAGTGGACCTATCCTTTCCCAGCTACCCTCTGCTCCTAATATACATATAAAATACCTTGGGATTCTCCTCAATCCTACTTGCCAAGGACAGTTCATGGTACCTTTTGGCCCTCCTAATTTCTTGTTTAAATTCTTTTCTGCTTCCTTGAAACCAGAGCCTTGTCTAATTTCAATTTTCTAATCCTTACACATGCTTTCTTTTCAAGTAAACTTTCAATAACTCTTGTCATTCTGGGTTCCTGAATTTTACCATCCCTATCTTTCAACCTCACAGGAACATGATGGCCCTGAACTCTAATAAACTGGCCTTTAAAAGACTCCGACATCTCACATGTGGATTTACCCTCAAACAATTGCCCCTAGTCTGAAATCTCGAGTTCCTGTCCAATACTGTTGTAATTAGTCTTCCTCTAATTAAGCACTTTCACCCAAAGACCAGTCTTACCCAGTTACTTCAAGATTGCTTCACCATTCAAAACCATCATGTCTGATCATCTGACTCCGTACCCTTTTCCCACATTGGTCATTGCCTGGCACTTATATGGCACGAATGTTACCTGTCACTTGTTAGCCCAAGCCTAAATATTGTCCTGACCTTGTTGCATTTGGACATGGACTGCTTCAGTATCCAAGGAGTCACAATACTGAACATTGTGCAGTCATCAGTGATCATCCCCACTTCTGACCTCATTACGGAGGGAAGGTCATTGGTGAAACAGTGAAGAAGGGTGTGTCTAGGACACTACCCTGAGGAACTCCTACAGATATGTCCTGGAGCTGAAATGACTGGCCTCCAAGAACCACAAACACCCTCCCATGCGCCAGATATGACTCCAACCAGCAGAGAGATTTCCCCCAATTCCCACTGACTCCAGTTTTGCTTGGAGTCTACACTTTGACCCAAGGTCTGCTCCACTCACTTTGACTTTTTGTATTTCCTCCAAACTCCTCAACTGCCATCTATACACTCTCGAAAACTCTGAGATTCCCTCCCTAAAGCTCTTCATCTTCCCTTTTCTCCTTTAAGACCCTTCTTAAAAGCTACCTCTTTGGCCAAACTTTTGGTCACTGTCCTGACCTACTTTTTCTCAATGTCTGTGTTTACCTTTACATTTCAGTGACTTGGTCTTGGACATGACAGTTATTTAAAGGTAAGATATAAACACAACTTGATGAAAAATAATTCAATAATTCCTCTGCAAACACAATCCAAACTTGAAAAGAGAAGGTGGTGGAAAATCAACACCTGATAGGCAAGTTCCTCACTGAACTCCTTCAAATTTCACAGTGATTCCACATGATTAATACCTTTGTTACAATTTCCAGATTGAAGCTGCTATCTAGGGAGACTATGAAGAGAATGAGGGAGGGATGAAAAACATGGAAATAACCACGTTTCTCCACCCATTCAGCTCAGTGACAATGTCCTCAGACCAGATGTTGTCTCAGCACAAAATTCAGGTTTTTCCCTTATTGATAAATATTGCCCACTCCCTTTCTCACACCTTTCAGTTTCCTTCTCAAACTTCATGGAGGCCCTTTTTACTCAATTACAGGCCATTTCTTGTTGGTACTGATACAGGCAGGATTATGCGTGTAACTCACAATGTTGCAGTTCTTGTAAGTTCAGAGCTTGTTGTGCACACATGATATAACGATAGGTAACTTCATTCATTCTCATCCTTGGCAAGCCTAACTTCCCTCTGGTCCCCCTCAGCCTGATCTGGTTCAGCATCCTTCCTCTTCCCCTATGACTCTATACATGCCGGACCCGAGGCAGCCTCACTTCACCAGTCCTGATACCATCTTACTCCCATGGCCCTAGGTAAAGCTCCACAAGTGTCCTCCCATTCCCATCTCTAGCCCTGATGAAGCTTCATTCTGCAAGCTATTCAACCCTAATCTTACTACAGCTGGCTTTATACAGGCCTTAGCAGCACAACTGCCCAAAAGTCCACTTCAAAAGAACCAACAGAAAACGGAAAGAAGAAAAAAAATAACTTAAAAGGAAACTTCAAAAGCCAAAAACCTAATAGCTAAAACAAGGAGCAAAAACCTAGGTCATGATATTTCAGTACAATATCTTCATCAGATAAGCTTTTTGACCAAGCTTTTAGTCATCTTACTTAATATCACTTTACGTAGCTCTTTATCATAGTCTGTTCTAAAGTGGGCCTGTGAAATGACTTGGGTGTTGTGTTTTGTTAGAACTTTACAGGTTGCTATTGTTATGGCATATGACAGTGTATTATATTAATCACCAATATCCAAATAACCTAATTTACAGCAGATTTAAAAAGAATTTCTTTCACATTTGTGGACATCTGGTACCAGGAATTTAATAGTGGTGAATTTGTGTCAGCATCAAAACGGTCCCCAAAGAAATTCTTGCCAACTGATGTTTTATTTTGTAGATTAGCTTTCAAATCACAACTATGAGCAGCTCCAAATTTGAAGGTAACTAATTATGTCAAATGTATTGAATTTTTCTGAAATCATTGTTAAATTGTTTTTAAAACTGTTCTGTTAACCAAATTACCACAATAACAAAATCAAAGCCAAAGTCAAGCAAAGTGAAGCACTACTACAGTCTTTCCTTTTCTTTAACATCTTTTAGTCCTCTTCAACTAAGAGTCCCAAGTTAGTAAGTACAAATGTAGTCAACCACTGAAGCAACACATTTTTTAAAATTTACAGTTAATTAATACTCAAAACCAAGGACAGAAGCAAACATTCAATGAAAATTAGAGAATCCTGGCTGCCATAAAACATTAGCATTTAGTATGTTGTGCTTTTCCTTAAAAGGTACTCACTTGCATGAAGCTACTGGATGATGATACATACATTCATCACCATTTTTACATGCAGGCCAGTACTTGCATCGCTCTAGAACTTTCTGCCGTTTTACTTGAAAGTTGGGGTCATCAATTTCTTCTAAGGTAGAAAATAAAAAGAACTTTATTTAACATAATAAGCTCACATTGAATGAACGTGTCCTAACATTAGGTTCTTCTCTTTAAAACAAGGGTTATAAATTATTACGATTACTTAAAGAAAAGGCTTTAAAAAAGACTTACCAAATGACGGCTCTGCATAAATTTTTTACTGTTTCAAATTGAATTCAGTTTTTAATTTTTTTTTAAAAACAGCTTTAACTCTTCCATTTCCTTGATTCCCCCGGCCCCAGTAATCACTTCTTCAAATCCAACAGAGGAAATGACTCAGTCATTCATCAAGTCTGGAATCAGGTCTTACCCTTTGCCAAACTCATCCATGCAACCTGAAGAGCAACATAACTACAACACTACCTAATCTTGAATAAGTAGGCCAACCTTGAGAGGCCCCAAGACAATCCATTCAGCTGCTTTCCAATACCTAGTATATCCCATCCGATCTTCAAATCTCTTCCCTAGTTCTCATTTCTAGTACCTTGACAACTGATGTTCTTTCTAAACTTCACTTTGTAGGAAACATTTGCCTCTTGCTTGGAGAAAATTCTCTCAAAACCTTTTATTATGCAACGTCCTTTCCACACCCTTACCATGACAATTCAATAAATTTATACACAATTCCACCCTGCTATCCCCTATCCCCTTCTACTTTTTCTCGCCCACTGTCACCCCAAATATCCATCTCCACTTTCCACACAACTTCATGTTTGAATCAGTCCAATTATGTTTCAATTCTGCCACAGGAGTGTAACAGATGAAATCATAAACACTACTCTTGTTCCATAATGAATTATCTCCTCTGCAAAATTCAGCACAGTTAACCTTACTGTTATTGTACAAATGCTTTTCTTGCATTATCCTCAACAATGGGACTGCTGTTGTTTGACTTCACCATTAACTAACCAATCAAAGGCAAATATCATCCTGAAATGGCTTCTAGCACCTCCCCCCAGATTCCTACTAAATCCCTCTATGAGCTCCTTCTCTACATGTTACATTTTAACAACACCTGCAGACATGGAATAGGACTCTCCACAAGCTGATGACAACAGATGTTTCCACTCTATTATTTATCTTTCCTTCTCCAATGCCTTTGCATTGTCAGACTGTTCATCAGAAATCCAGTCCTAAATAAGTCACAACTAGCTCCATCTAAACACTGTGAAGACTGAGTGCATAATTTTCAGGTCCTGCCACAAATTCCATACACTTGCTGCCAATTCCAACCACTTCTCCAGCCACCATCTCAGGCTGAAACAGACTGCTACAACCTAGGCATCCAATTTGACCAGAATTGAGTTCCTGACTTCTTTATCACAAATGTCACTTTCCATCATGAAAACATTGTTCACTTCCAACTAATTGCTGTTGAAATCCTTATCCTTATCTCTCTCACCTCAAGACTTCATTACTCCAATACTCTCTTGGCTCATCTTTGCTTTATCTTCTGTAAATTAAATGTCATCTAAAATTCTGCTGTTCATGTCTTTCCTCCACACTATCCTTTTCATACGACTGTCAAATAAAGGAAATCAATCTAGGATCAAACAACTTTTCAGAATGGAGTAAGAGTAATATTAATTATGGAAGATTGAGGACATTAGAGCTTTAATGCATTGCTTCTTCTTCTCTGCCCATACCCTACTAATGTTCTAACAATAAAAATAAGTGATATCCAGCTGGTAAAGGAGAGACAGTAAATTAATATAAACAATGAATTAACAAGTTTTCTGGACTAAGAATAAATCAAGTTTGATGGGTCAATTGACATTTCCTTAGTTTTTAAAAATTACCATCGGACTCCTTCAATGACTGAGCAGCATTCTGTATTGACAATCTGTACTTCCTTCCAGCCTCTTGCAAAAGGCCCCCTTGCTCCATTATTTCAGTCTCCTCCTCTTGTTCTGAGCTATATCCAGGAGGACTTGGAATGCCATCCAATGTCACAATAAATTTAGGACTTGATTCCTCAGAGTCACGTTGATCTCTACCATAGAATTTTTTAAAAAAATAGTAATTAATAACAAAGCTAACTGAATTTTTAAAATTATATATTTTGCAATACATACCGGAAGAAGACACATGATTAAACATACAATTGTTTCTGCATAGCAGCTTAGGAATTCCTTTAAAGAAAATGCTTTAATAATTAGATGAATCACCACTTAAGCCATTTTAAAACCTGTTGAATACAACCACTACAGACTCTTGTTCTTCTTGTGGATGCTTAAAAGACTAATTGAGGACAGTCAATAAGAATTTGTCGGGATAAGGCAAGGTCTAATGAAATGAATTTTTTAAGCAAATCAGATTATGGAACAGAATACTAGAATTGCTGCAAATTACGAATGCCCAACTTGCAAACACTTGTACTTACTTGAATACAAATTGACTTGCGAATAGACTCAGGAACGAAACCCGCTTGCAAACTGGGGACTGCTTGTATTTTAAAAAAGGCACAAAAGTACTAATAAAGAACTAGCTGTGAAAGTTAAGGTATTAGAAGAAAATGTAACCATATGGATTGATGGTTAGGTGGCAGCAAACAGAATGTCAGACAAAGGAATGCTTAATTTGGTAAGATGTGAATAGCCATGCACCCAGAGATCTGACCTGGAATATCTTTACTAATATAAAAGCAGAGGAAGATACAAGGGTATGCAGATATAACAATGGAATGAGATTAGTTTTGAATTGCTTTTGCAAGGTATTGACACAGAAACTAAAGAGAAAGGGTCTCCTGTGCAATAAGCATCTAAATGATCTAGATATATAAGCAAGTTTGATTACATGTAATTAAATATGTTCTTTTTAAATTCAGAAGAATGCAAGGGATTCTTGTTGGGCAGATAAGTTAGGCAAATGAAAACGCAGAAAGGAATGAGGGGCAGATGTAGTTCATTGTAAGCAAAAATATTCTGGGGAATGGGAACAATACAATGCTTGTAACATTCTGGGACTTCCTATATATTGGACCTGAAAGTTTATTTTTTAAAAATTGCTTTACAGGCTACCTTCTTGAGAACAACAGCATAACAAATGATTTAATATTTACAGACAACTTAGAGCATTACATACAATGATTTCAAAATGGAACTATAAATGAAACAAGCTGTTAATTGGTGCATTTTTCCACTATTCATTAGCTTTAAGAGAATAAAACTGGTTGAGAAGGGCCCTATTATGCTAAAAGAACTTTCAATGTACCCAGCAAGGAGCTTAACTGAGTGTAAATAACCTTCCATCTTGAAACAGCAGCATCTTATTTAATAATATTTTTGATAGTTTCAAGTCAAGATAGTGTGATGCTTGAGGGAAACATGAAGGTGGTTGCGCTCCAATACATTTGCTGCCCTTTTTCTTCTGGGTTGTACAGGTCACAAGTTTGGAAGAGAATTTGAGAGTTTCCTGGCATTTCAGGAGGCTTTCGTTTGTGCTGCTGAATTGAAATTGCTATGGGCTCAGATGAGCTCATGGTGAGTTAACTACATTTCAGCCCATCAGGAAACTGTCTGTTTCTGCAAAATCAATGGGAGGTTGGAACTTGTTTGGAATTTGGAGAATCACATAAGCTCTATTCAATAATTACGTTTAACTGGATAATTCAGACAAAATACTGAAACTCCGCTCCTAACAGCATCATGGATTTACCTACTACCATAGACTGCACTTGTTCAAGGACCACTACTGCAGTGATTAAAAAAAAACAAAAGGTCAGGCAGGTGGATCTCATAGAATATAAGTTCCCTGATTGGGGCTGTTAACCTGGTAGAACCCTTAAGAGTACTGATAGGCAGAGGGATCTGGGTGTACAGGTACGCAGGTCGCTAAAAGTGGCAACGCAGGTGGAAAAGGTAGTCAACAAGGCTTATGGCATGCTTGCCTTCATCGGCCGGGGCACTGACTCTAAAAATTGGCAGGTAATGTTGCAGCTTTATAGAACCTTTATAAATGCGGGTTAGGCCGCATTTGGAATATTGTGTTCAATTCTGGTCGCCACACTACCAGAAGGATGTGGTGGCTTTAGAGAGGGTACAGAAAGATTTTACGAGGATGTTGCCTGGTATGGAGGGCATTAGCTATGAGGAGAGTTTGGAGAAACTTGGGTTGTTCTCACTGGAACGATGGAGGTTGAAGGGGGACCTGATAGAGGTCTACAGGATTATGAAGGGCATGGACAGACTGGACAGTCAGAAGCTTTTTCCTTTACAGCAAAATTCCTACCCTATTTTGGTGTCTTCTGCAAATGTAGCTACCGTGCCTTCACTCCTCTCATCTGTGTTATTGATATAAATTTTAAAAAGTTGAGGTCCTCGTACAGGCCCCTGTGGGACTCCATTAGTCATACATCTTCTCTCTAGGCTAATGTGTTAACCCCTACACCATAAGCTTTTATTTGGCACAATAATATTTGATGTGACACCTTATCAAATGCCTTCTGGAAATCTGAGTACAGTACATCTACTGGTTTCCCTTTATCCCCAGTACACTACTTCTTCAAAGAACTACAATAAATTTTGTTTCTCTTTCACAAAACTGTTGAAGAACATTGAATTTGTCTGATTACCTTGAAAGCATCCAAATGCCTGGCTATAACATCTTTAAAAGCAGCTTCTAACATTTTCCCTACAATCGCTGTTAAACTAACTGGCCTGTAGTTTCTGAATTGTTGATTCCCTCCGTTTTCAAGCAAAGTTATCCTACAATCTAGCAGAACCTCTCCCAATCTAAGAAATTTAAAATCAACGCATCAATTGTCTCGTAAGTTACTTCTTTAAAAGATCCTAGGATGCTGTTTCTAACAACTTGTTAGCCTGTAGATCCAACAATTTACTCAGTACCATCTTCCTGCTGACTGTAATTTTCCTGTGTTCCTCTCTCCCTTTCATTCCTTGATTTATGGCTATTTATGATGGTACTTGCATCATCAAAAGGTGAAAACTATAGTTTGGTTCATGGAAAATTTGCAGCATACTATAAGATACAATAAAACATGACAAATAATGCAATTATGCCCAGATACCATTCTGCCTAGTAGTAGGCAAAAAGCTACTCACTTGGCCTGTACCACACGATCTTGTTCTGCTGATACACCTTCGATGTAAACAGCAACTTTTCCCTGGCATTTGGGTTCCACTCCTTCCAATACAGGCTTCTTCAAGATAAATGATCTAGTGTCACCACCTGGTCTTGCTTCTATTGACTTCACTGCCAAATCAATAAATAATGTATTATGGTCTTGCAAAATTATAATAATACTCTATTTGATGGAGACTACAGAACAAATCTGGCAAAATAAGACATTGTAGCACCTAAGAGTAACATAATTAAAAAACATGGGATTCGGGCTTTATTCTCACTTTCTTGAGCCTCCAATCTCCATTATGCCCTGTGTTATGTTGGGTAAATGCAATGTTCACGTACAGCTCTTAATCACTTTAGAACAGATTCGGGAATATACGCCTACAAATCTGTCCTTAAATGAACTGAAGAGGCAGGAGGCATTGACACCCTCAAATAAATAGCTGAATGTGGAGCCACTGAAGATGGAAGGAGTGGGGAATAAAATGTATCCCAGTCTCAGAAAAATGGCATTTGGGAGGGGCCACTAAGTTGACATTCACTACATTGAGGGGGTGCTAGCATTCAAGCAACTAGATACACCCCAAAATAGCTCCCCCATTTAAAGTTTGAGGGTGAAAAAGAATTAACAACAAAAAAATCTCAGATTACAAATACAGTAAAGAATGGAAATACTTAAAACTTTATTTTGAAATAGAATTACTCCTTTAGAAGAATAATCAATATTCTGACTCAATTTCTGATATTTTCATATTAATCATCTTGACTGAAAAGTAATTTTGATTCTTACAGTAAAGCTTTTGTACAGGCTGTTCAGCTTTATCAATTTGCAGTTGTACGCCATGTTGATCTGGTTTGTCTTCTACATTAATCACTTCAATTTCATTGCTTTCACATACAGCTCGAGTTCTAGGAGCCACAGGTACAGTCTGTCTCTGAGAAACTACTACACAAAAGGAAAACGTGATTACAAAAGCAGTTTTCTATAAAAATATACTTAAAACACTTTAATTTTATTTCAACTTAATCATTGGAAACATTGGGAGAAAAACCTGAATTAATGTTTTAGCTTATACTGTTAAAACCCCACAGTGATTAATCAAATCAGTTGGCCAGCTTTGGGAGGGGCTTAAGAGGAAGTAGCCATAGAAAGAAATATTTTGATACATTTTCCCAGTAATATAAAATATCCAAATATGAAGAAATAGTTACATTCAATAAAACAGCATTATAAAACCAAAGACAAATTTTGGTAGAATTTGGATACTTTGTGTTAAAGGGCCTGAACTTGATTATATAATGTGTATTATAACTAACTCAAAAACTGAAGTCTAGATTAAGAATATTAAAGTTTCGATAGAATATGTTTCTTTCATAAACACAATTTGTTCAAACAATCCTTAGCATTGATACAAGAGGAGAGTGATTTAACTTCACAAAATGGATATTATGTGGGAGATGCAAGTTTGTGCCCCACTTATTTTACTGCTTACCACTTATACCTGGAAGCAGTTCACAGAAAATAAGATCACTTGCTTTCCATCTGTAAATCAGTAAGATCCAACTGGTGCGAGGTATTGGTGAGGATAAAGGGTAAGGAAACAGCAATTAGAAGTTGCTAAACCTAACTTTTAAAACATCAAAGAATTTTTGCAGAGTAGAAAAGGTCTCGAGTTTCAGTAAAACTGAAACCAATGATGGTTTCAGAAGACCATAGGAGGAGTTATGGTTGAACAAAAATGTGCTTTGGGAGAACAGATATTCAAATGACCAGCTTAGAGCCAATAACAAATCCTAAGACCTTATTTCATATATTATAAATGTTTACACACATTCAAAGGGCACATGGAATGAAAACCATTTTTGACAAATAGTTTGTACGAATCTACATTACCTGGTGGATAGTTTGTTGTCTTGCTTACAGATTTCTGGGCCTCTGTGATAGCTTTTAGGATTAGATTCTTATTGGCCTGCTTAGAAGGTGGTAAAGTAGGCCTGAAAAGCAAACAAACTTTCCTCAAATTCATTTCTTTCAAATTTTATGTTATTAACAAACACCAAAAATATCTGCTTATTATCATTACCATGACTTTTCTGTGGGTGCAGAGACAGAGGAAGAAGTCCAAGGAATGGTAAGTAAGTTATTAGTTTCTTAAAATATCAAAGTGACAGTTACTTTTACAACAAATAAAGTGAGAGAAAAATATCTGATCAAATGAGAGCTGGTTTCTGGTGTTCTGATAATAAAAATAAAACAGAAAAGAGTTACCACATATTTTTGTGGCAATGTTAGGAATAAATGGGTATATGTATTTCCTAAACATGGTATCATTAAGAAAAAAAATGCCTGAAAGGCTAATGATAATTTTGTGGGAATTATTCCACTGAACTCACTACAAAAAAAAACAGAATTAAAAGACTGCACGTTATTCTAGTTAGTTTCCTGCATGTATATTTATTCAATGGTACTTCATGATGGGTAATACATAAAAATCTTGCCAAGAATACTCACATTCCAAGATTGAGTAATAACGTGATCTCACCACTATTCCTTGTCCGATTTTCTTTCTAAATCCCACTCATTTGCACTATTTTCCACTCTGACAAAGTATGCAATCCTGAAACATGGGCTGAGGAACATAGGAACAGGGCATTCAACCTATTAAGCCTGCTTTGCTATTCAATACAACTATGCCTGATTAAACATTTCAGGGCCTTTTACCCACCCCATCCCCACAACGCTGCAAGTCATTGCTTTATTTTTGATTGCCAATCTCTACTTTAAACATTCTCAAAGACTGAGCTTCCACAGCCTTCCACGGTACAGTAGAAAACTTAAAACATTCACAACTTTCCAAGTGAAAAAAGATACTCCTCATCTCAGACCTATGTGGCATCCATCTTATCCATGTCCTGTACATGCCGGTCCCAGGCATTGAAACCGCCTGCAGAGAACAGGAAGTGGAATCAGGGATAAAAACAAAAGACAGGAAAGGGATTAGAAAAGTGATAGGCAAGGAGATCAAGGGCCAGGGTCAAAGAGAGACAGTGAAAAATAATGTTAAAGGGACAAGTAATCTTAAAAAGATAAGCCTTAAGGCTTTGTGCCTTAATGCACATAGCACTTGCAACAAAGCAGATAAATTAATTCTGCATGCAGGTTAAAACAGGTACACTATAGTCAGTAATAAAGAGACATGGCTGCAGGGTGACCAGGGATGTGAACTGAATATCCAAAAGTATACAGTATTTAGGAAGGAAAGGCAAAAAGGATAAAAGGTGGTGAAGTGACATTGCTGGTTGAAAAAATGGAAATTAACAAAATAGTATTGAAGGATCTTAGCTCCAACAACATGGGATCCCTATCAGTAGATCTGAGAACCACCAAGAAGCAAAAAAAACATTATTGGGGGTTGTAGATATTTTCCAAACTGTGCGGTGATGTTAGGAATGGCAGTAAACAGAAAATTAGAGACGCATGCAATAAAGGAACATTTGTAATTATGAGTGACTTTAGTCTGTATATAGATTGGGCAATTCAAATTAGTAACGATACTGTAGAGGAAGAATTCCTGCTATGCTTGAATGATGGCTTGCTGGACCAATACATTCAGGGATCAATACGAGAACACACCATTCTAGACTGGCTATTGTGCAATGAGAAAGGAATAACCAGCAATTTGGTTGTGAAGCCCCTTGGGGATGAACAACTATAATATGATAGAATTCCTTATCAAGATGTAGCTGATTCTGAGACTAGGGGCTTGAGTCTAATTAGAGGAAATTATGATGGTATGAAGTGCAGCGAAAAGGCAATGGCAAACATTCAAAGAGCGCATGGGTGAACAGCAAAAATTGTTCATTCCTGTCTGGTGCAAAGGTAAAATGGCATAGGGAAATCCAAGATAGTATTAGGTCCAAAGACAACACATACAAATTGGACTGAAGAACAGCAAAGGAGGACAAAGGGATTGATTAAAATTAAAAAAAAGAGACCAGTGTAAGCTCATGGGGACAACACTTGGAAAAATGCATTCAGTTTTAGTCTTCTTATCTGAGGAATGCTGTTCTCGCTAGACAGCAAGCGTGGCAAAATTTTACGAGACAGATTCCTAGGATGACAGCACTAAATTAACAGGAAAGGTTGAATGAGTTAGGATTACCCACATCGGGTTCAGAAAAATGAGGGGTGAATGTCATGGAAACCTATGAAATTTTAACACGACTAGACAGAGTAGTTGCAGTAAAAATGTTCCCATGACAAGGGACTCCAGAGCCATGTGTAACAATCTACAGATACAGGGTAAACCATTTAGCACAGAGATGGGGGAGAAATGTCTTCACCTGGAGAGTGGTAAGTTTGTGGAATTCACTATCATAGAAAGCAGTCTAAGCCAAGACATTGCACGATTTCAAGAAGGTGTTCGATACAGCACTTGGGGCTAAAAGGATATGGTGGAAAGGCAGGGACGGACTACTGAGATGGATGATCAGCCGTGATCACAATGAATGCCACAGCAGGCTCAAAGGGCTAAATATCCTATTCCTTCTACTTTCTACGTACGTATCACCTTAGAAGAACAAAGAACAATACAGCACTGGAACAGGCCCTTCAACCCTTCAAGCCTGCACCAACATGTTTTGCCCTTCCATAATAAAACAGTCTTCACTTACAGGATCAGTATCCCTCTATTCCCTTCCTATTCATGTATCTGTCCAGGGGTAATGCTGCTATTGTGTCCGATTCCACCACCTCCTTTGGCAACGCATTCCAGGCACTTACTACCTTTTGCGCGAAAAACTGCCCTCACACATCTTTTAAACTTCCTCCCTCACACCTTGACCCTGTGTCCCCTAGTAAGTGACCCCTCCACCCTGGGAAAAAGCCTCATACTTTCCACTCTATCCGTGCCATTCAAAATCTTATCAACTTCTATCAGGTCACCCCTCAACCTCCCGTGTTCCAGTGAAAACAAACCCAGTCTATCTTCTTCATAGCTAAAAACCCCCATACCAGGCAACATTCTGGTAAACATTTTCTATACCCTCTCCAAAGCATCTGTATCTCTCTGGTAGTGTGCTGACCAGAACTGTACTCAATATTCCGAATGTGGCCTAACTGAAGTTCTTTAAATCTGCAGCATAACTTGCCTATCCTTATACTCAATGCCCCTTCTAAAGAAGGCAAGCATGTTGTAAGTTTTTTTTATTACCTTATCTAACTGCGCTGCCACCTTCAGTGATCTGTGGACCTGCACACCCAGATCCCTCTGCATATCAATACTCCTAAGGGTTCTGCTATTCACTGCATAAGTTCCACCTGTACATGACCTTTCAAAAATGCATCAGCTCACATTTGTCCAGATTGAACTCCGTCTGCCATTTTTCTGCCCATGGCACCAACTAATCTATAACCTACTGTATCCTCTGACAATCCTCTTCACTATCCATAACTCGACCAATCTTTGTACTGTATACAAATTTGCTGATTAGACCAGCTACATTTTCCTCCAAATCATTTATGTAGGTCACAAATGGCAGAGGTCTCAGCACAGATCCCTGTCACAACCCTCCATTCTGAAAAATATCCTCCCACTGCTACCCTCTATCTCCTATGACTAAGCCAGTTCTGTATCCATCTTGCCAGCACACCCCTGAAGCCATGTAACTTCACCTTTTGTACCAGTCTGTCATGAGGGACCTTATCAAAGGCTTTATTGAAGTCCATGTTGACAACATCAATTGCTTTTCTCTCATCAACCATTTCTGTTACCTCCTCAAAAAACTTGATCAAGTTAGTGAAGCACGACCTCCCCCACACAAAACCATGTTGTCTATCACTAATAAGTTCATTTGCTTCTATGTGCATACAGATCTTGTCCCCGAGAATCTTTTCCAATAATTTCCCTCACAGGCCTGTAATTTCCAGGATTATCCCTGTTACCCTTCTTAAACTATGTGAAAACATTGGTTATTCTCCAGTCTTCTAAGGCCTCACCTGTTGCCAAAGAGGATACAAAGATGTCTGTAAACGCTCTAGCAATTTGTTCTCTTACCTCCCTTAATATTCTGGGATAGATCAAATCAAAACCTGAGGACTTATCTACCTTAATACTTTTTAAGACACACAATGCCTCTTCCTTTTTAATTGTAGCTTGGCTTAGAAACTCTGTGTTGGTATTCACCCAAATTATTCGTTTAGGACCTCACCTACATCTTCTGGCTCCACATGTAGGTTCCCTGTTTTATCCTCGACTGGGCCAGCCCTTTCTCTGGCTACCCTCTAGCTTTTTATATATATATATAAAATGCCTTGGGATTCTCCTTAATCCTGTTTGCTAAGGACTTTTCATGACCCCTTTTAGCCCTTCTAATTTCTTATCTAAGTTCTTTCCTACTTTCCTTATATACTTCAAGGGCTTCATCAGTTCCCATCCTCTTGGATCTTACGTATGCTATCTTTTTCTTTTTGATCAAGGTCATAACATCCCTGGTCATCTAAGGTTCATGTAACTTGCCATACCCATCCTTCATTCTCACAGGAACGTGCTGCTCCTGAACTCTTATCAACTGCTGTTTGAAATAGTCCCACATGTCCGATGTAGATTTACCCTCAAATAGCCACCTCCAATCAACATTCTCCAGTTCCTGCCTAATATCATTATTGTTCACCTTCCCCCAATTTAACACCTTCACCTCAGGTATGCCGTTATCCCTATCCACGAGTATCTTAAAACTCACAATATTACGGTCACTACTCCTGAAATGCTCTCCCAGTGAAATTTCACTCACATGGCTGGGCTCATTTCCCAAAACCAGGTCCAGTATAACCCCTTCCCTGGTTGGACTATTTACATATTGTGTCAAGAGACCCTCCTGAATGGTCCTTACAAATTCTGTCCCATCCAAGCTCCTAGCACATAGCAAGTCCCAGTCAATATAGGGGAAGTTAAAATCACCTATCACAATAATCCTGCCGTTTTTACACCTTTCCAAAATCTGTCTACATAATCTCTCCTCTATCTCCTGCTGGCTGTTGGATGGCCTGTAGTATATCCCTAGCATTGTGATTTCACCTATTCCTGATATTTTTCCCATTTTGCCTTGCTGCACGAGTCCTCTGACGCATCTTCCCTCAGTACAGCTGTGAGATACTCATTTACCAGTAACGCAACTCCCACATCCCTTTTATCTCCCATTATATCACACCACGAGAGAAAAAAGGCCCATTTTGCCCATTCTCTCTTCATAGGTCAATCTTGCCGTCCCAAAATCTGGCAAACATTCCCTCTATGGCAGTAACATCTTTCCTGAGCCAAAACTGTACCCCCCATGCATTCTAAACAAGCACCTATACAACTGTGGCAAGACTTCACTATTCCTGTACTTAAAACTTCTTGTAATAAATAGCTTGCTGCACCTGCATGGTAACCTTCAGTAACTTAGCAACAAAGACACCTTGCTGAATGTAGCTGTTAATGACACCAATCTCATCATTTTCTGAAATACTTTGCACATCTGTTTCTCCCACCAAAGGCTATTTCCACAAATAAACTTCATACATGTAAAAGATTTACATACATTGTGCTGAAACATTGATATGTATTCCTTTCAAGACTCATTCACAAAAAAAAAACCACCATGCAAAAGACCTGCTCTTCTGACTTTCCTGTACTTATACTGTGCTGGCTTTGGTTTTCACGCAAAGGCTTAGATGTAGGAGTGCACAATGTCACCTGATATTGGTGTATTTGAAACTTCTGAAGCTTTCTTTAGAGATTTTTCTTACTGGGGCCTGCACTATACACAAAGTCAGCTAGTTTTGGTGTACCCAGTATTATTTTAGAGTCTTGATACATTTTTAAAAAAATATTCATTTATGGGATAACAAGGTGTAGAGCTGGATAAACACAGCAGGTCAAGCAGCATCAGAGGAGCAGGAAGGCTGACGTTTCGGGCCTAGACCCTTCTTCAGAAATGGGGGAGGGAAAGGGGGTTCTGAAATAAATAGGCAGAGAGGAGGAGGTGGATAGAAGGTGGATAGAGGAGAAGATAGGTGGAGAGGAGACAGACAGGTCAAAGAGGCGGGGATGGAGCCAGTAAAGGTGAGTGTACGTGGGGAGGTAGGGAGGAGATAGGTCAGTCCAGGGAGGACGGACAGGTCAAGGGGGCGGGATGAGGTTAGTAGGTAGGAGATGGGGGTGAGGCTTGAGGTGGGAGGAGGGGACGAGCTGGACTGGTTTTGGGATGCAGTAAGGGGAGGGCAGAGCAGATTTTGCAGCTTGTGAAGTCCACATTGATACCATTGGGCTGCAGGGTTCCCAAGCGGAATATGAGTTGCTGTTCCTGCAACCTTCGGGTAGCATCGTTGTGGCACTGCAGGAGGCCCAGGATGGACATGTCATCTGAGGAATGGGAGGGGGAGTTGAAATGGTTCGCGACTGGGAGGTGCAGTTGTTTAGTGCAAACCGAGTGTAGGTGTTCTGCCAAGTGGTCCCCAAGCCTCCGCTTGGTTTCCCCGATGTAGAGGAGGCCACAACGGGAACAGCGGATACAGTATACGACATTAGCAGATGTGCAGGTGAACAACTGCTTGATGTGGAAAGTTTTCTTGGGGCCTGTGATGGGGTTGGCAAGTAAGACATTGGTGTAGCACTTCCTGCAGTTGCAGGGAAAAGTGCCGGGTGTGGTGGGGCTGGAGGGGAGTGTGGCGCGGACAAGGGAGTCATGGAGAGAGTGGTCCCTCCGGAAAGTAGATAAAGGTGAGGAGGGAAAAATGTCTTTGGTGGTGGGGTCAGATTGCAGATGGCAGAAGTGTCGGAGGATGATGCGTTGGATCCGGAGGTTGATGGGGTGGTACGTGAGGACAAGGGAGATTCTGTTTTGGTTGTTATTGCGGGGAGGGGGTGTGAGGAATGAGTTGTGGGAAATGTGGGAGACACGGTTGAGGGCATTCTCGACCACTGAGGGGGTGGAAGTTGCGGTCCTTGAAAAACGAGGACCTCTGAGATGTACGGGAGTAAATGCCTCATCCTGGGAGCAGATGCGGCAGAGGCGAAGGAATTGGGAATAGGGGATGGCATTTTTGCAGGAAGGTGGGTGGGAAGAGGTGTATTCTAGGTAGCTGTGGGAGTCGGTGGGCTTGAAATGGATATCGGTTTCTAGGTGGTTGCTGGAGATGGAGACAGAGAGGTCCAGGAAGGAGAGAGAGGTATCAGAGATGGAATTTATGGGATGTGGGCTTTGCTGGCTGGCCAGCATTTGTTGCACGCTCCTAGTTGCTCTTGAAAAGTTGGTGGTGAGCTGCCTCTTGAACCGCTCCAGTCCACCTGGGTATGGATTGACCCACAATGCCATTGGGACGGAATTCTAAGATTCTGACCCAATGACAGTGAAGGAACAACGATATATTTCCAAGTCAGGATAGTGAGTGGCTTGGAGGGGAATTTGAAGGTGGTGGTTTTCCCATATATCTGCTGCCCTTGTCCTTCTAGGTGGAAGTGGTTGTGGGTTTGAAAGGTGCTGTCCGAGGATCTTTGGTGAATTTCTGAAATGGATCTTGTAGATAGTACACACTGCTGCTACTGAGCATCGGTGGTAGAGGGAGTAGATGCTTGTGGAGGTAGTGCCAATCAAGCAGACTGCTTTGTCCTAGATGGTGTCAAGTTTCTTGAATGTTGTTGGGGCTGTACACATCCAGGCAAGTGGGGAATATTCCATTACACTCCTTATTTGTACCTTGTAGATGGTGGACAGGCTTTGGGGTGTCAGGAGGTCTGTTACTCGTGGCAGTATTCCTAGCCTCTGGCCTGCTCTTGTAGCCACTGTGTTTAAGTGGTAAGTCCTGTTGAGCTTCTGATCAACGATAACCCACAGGATATTGATAGCGGGGGATTCAGTGATGGTAACACCATTGAATGTCAAGGGGCCATGATCAGCCTTTCTCTTATTGGTGATGGCCATAGCTTGGCATTTGTGTGGCGCAAATGTTACTTGCCACTTATCAGTCCAAGCCTAGATATTGTCCAGATTTTGTTGCTTTTGAACATGGACTGACTCAGTATCTGAGGAGTTGTGAATGGTACTGAACATTGCACAATCATCGGCGAACATCCCCACTTTTGACCTGATGATGGAGGGAAGGTGACAGATGAAGTAGCTGAAAATTGTTGGGCCTAGGACACTACCCTGAGCAACTCCTGCAGAGATGTCCTGGAGGTGAGATGACTGACCTCCAACAACCATGACCATCTGACAACCTATGTGTCAGCTATGACTCCAAACACTGGAGAGTTTGCCCCCAATACCCACTGACTCCAGTTATGCTAGGGCCCCCTGATGCTACATTTGGTTGAATGCAGTGCACTCAGAAGAACTAAGCATCTGGAGAAAGCTTTACCAATGAACATACATTTACTCTAAAGGAGAAGTGGAGACACTGTGAGGCAGCATGGCAGAAGGATTAGCCCATTTCCTATTACTGTCAACTTTATCAGCACAGAAACCAGCAGCAAGTTTTACCTCAAGTGCAATCACAGAAATTTGGGGGAAATTAATTCTTTTCTCCCCCCTCTACAGTCTGGCCTATTGAATATTAGTTCTGAATGTTCTTTTGTTTCAGATTTCCAGCAAGTGCAGTATTTTGCTTTTTGTTCTCTGAACTTAGTAACTAGAATAGTAAAATAGCGTATAGCTTTGCAACATGGAATACCAAATATAAGGATAACCTATTCAGAATACACTGCAGAATGAAGATCAATGGTTACAAAGTGTCAAAAATGAAGGCACCAAAATCACACTGTCCTACAATTGAACAAATCCCAGGTTAGGTATAAAAAAAAAGCTCTTCTTTATAATAAAAGATGAGCTACTCAATTATAATGGTTTACCAGTTAAATATAGAAAATAAAATTTAATCTGCAAAGGTTTACAGGAAGTCAACATTATAAAGAGGAGAAAGTGGTCGTTGTGCATCAATATTTTTTGTTTTGTGATGTACAATGTTGCACATGTCAACAGATGGAAAAAATACCAATTGCATATTGCAAAGATATGCCCTAATGTGAGAAACTGTATGTTTCCAGTACCTTCTTTCAGGCTTTGCTGGCACAGAAATACTGCTGGGAAGACTTCCTGTTCTTGTGCCATAATCATCATCATCTTCCTCACCATCACTAGTTTTACTTACTTTAACCACAGAACTGATGATTGCTGCCTTTCTCTTCCTGGAATTCTCATCCTGCATACATAAACATGATAAGTATACAATATAAGCATTCAACTTAAATACAAACTAAGTAGTTTTTATCCTTTTGGTTAGCATTTTTGAAAAAAAAGCTTACTATAGAAAAGGCAATAGGGCACTTTTAGACTGGGAACTCCCTAATCAGGTTTCTAGTTAGAAATAGAATTTCATATAATGGTGTAATTAAATGTTCTGTCATATTAGCATAGACTGATTGGGCCCAATGGTCTGCACGTATGTTGTCTATCCAATGTAGTATGGACAAGCCAACTAAAAACAGCAAATACATCATTTTTAAAATCAGTGGAAGCTGTTCATGGTAAGTTGAAGGACATGACATTTGATGAAGAGATAGATCTTTTACAGTATTGCTTATGCTAATGCAGACGATGTTATTTAGTAAGTGTTGGGCTTCTAAAGATTTGGGAGGAAGGTGAGAACAAAGTAAAGGGTGAGAAGAGTAACATTTTGTGGGACTGAAGGCATAAGTAGTTTTGAAAGAAACAGATGGGATGTTTAGAAATGTAGTACTTGTAGAGAATCATTGATCTGGAGGAAGTGTTTAGGAGACTGGCATTGAAAATATTGGCGCTGGATTATGAAATTTGGGCTCCTGAACACAACTGAATATTTGGAGCTATTGAGTAACATTAAGGAGGAAAGTATCAAGTAGAACACAATAGGTGCTGGAACTAGACAGCTGAAGGGAATAAACAAGTTGTACTAAGTAGCATGGAGGGATAAAAATGTGAACTTTGTTATTTTGGATCTAAGAAACAAGACACCAGTACGCTCTCCAGCCCAGTAATTCATTGATACATTGGGTCTCATGTTCTTCCTGTCCATTCCACGTGATGCCTTTGCTAACTCCCAACACAATCCTTCTTTGCTTGACTTTTTTTTAAGCATTAAGGTGGCAATTTATTCTACTTGGTATTCGAAAGCACTTATATTAAAAAGTGTGATTTTCCCAGCAATAAGCTGGAAAACTTCAGTGCTTCAGGTGCCATTTTGCTTGTGGTGTGAAGGTTGACAAATGAGGAGAGAGATAGGGAAACAGGATTGTAATTTGGCTAGAGTAAGGGAAGGTAATGGGCAATTAAGATTTATAACGGATCTGGAAAGAATCGGTACTGAGGGGAAATTGAAGAGAAAACGGAATTGCAAGTGGGAAGTGAGTTGTAAGGTCTTAGGGAGGAAACAACTTTTGAGGCAATGAAACCTGAATCGGCCATGACACCAATGGCAGTGAAGATCATCTGGGGCAGGAAGCATTTGTGAAGTCACAGAGTTCTGGAGATAAACAGAAAGCATTCACGATCTAGACAATATAAGCTTGGAAAATGAGGCTACAAGTATAAACACAGTCTAAATCTATCAAGGTGTAACAAGTAGCATGGAGGGATAAAAATGTGAACTTTGTTATTTTGGATCTAAGAAACGAGACACCAACTATCTGGACTCCATTTTCTCCCCCTTGGTCCAGGAACTACCTACCTATGTCCGTGACACCACCCACGCCCTCCACAACTTCCAATTCCCCGGTCCCCAACACCAGTCCCTCTACACCAGCATTCCCCATACAGATGGCCTAAAGGCCCTCCGCTTCTTCCTGTCCCGCAGGCCCGACCAGTCCCCCTCCATTGACACCCTCATCCACTTAGCTGAACTCGTCCTCACCCTCAACAACTTCTCTTTCAATTCCTCCCACTTCCTACAGACAAAGAGGGTGGCCATGGGTACCCGCATGGGCCCAAGCTATGCCTGCCTCTTTGTAGGTTACGTGGAACAATTCCTCTTCCGTACCTACACTGGCCCGAAACCCCATCTCTTCCTCCGTTACATTGATGACTGTATCGGCGCCACCTCGTGCTCCCACGAGGAGCTCAAACAGTTCATCCACTTCACCAACACCTTCCACCCCAACCTTAAGTTTACCTGGACCATCTCTAATACCTCTCTCTCCTTCCTGGACCTCTGTCTCCATCTCGGGCAACCACCTAGAAACCGATATCCATTTCAAGCCCACCGACTCCCACAGCTACCTAGAATATACCTCCTCCCACCGACCTTCCTGCAAAAATGCCATCCCCTATTCTCAATTCCTTCGCCTCCGCCGCATCTGCTCCCAGGATGAGGCATTCCACTCCCGTACATCTCAGTTGCCCTCGTTTTTCAAGGACCGTAACTTACCCCCCTCAGTGGTCGAGAACGCCCTCAACCGTGTCTCCCACATTTCCCGCAACTCATCCCTCACACCCTGTCCACGCAATAAGAACCAAAAAAGAATCCCCCTCGTCCTCACGTACCACTCCATCAACCTCCGGATCCAACGCATCATCCTCCGACACTTCTGCCATCTGCAATCTGACCCCACCACCAAAGACATCTTTCCCTCCCCACCCTTATCTGCTTTCCGGAGGGACCACTCTCTCC